CAAGGAAAAAAATAAGAGTTTCCTGTTCCAAAAATTCTGTTCTAGACTCAGGTGTAAAATAACCTAAGGCAAAGGAGGAATGGGAATTATAGCAAGATAACTACTTGTTTCAGTCATGGGCTGTGCAACAGTCTGAAAACCATCATGGAATGTGAAAAATCAAATGATCAAAGGTAAAGATTCAGGAATTGCAGAAACTCGATGGACAAAATCAGAGCAGTGCATCAAATATGCAAAACAGTTAAGGGTAACAAAATTCTCTTCTGGTAGGTAAATGAATAAGCAGAAGGTCAGTTAGAGAATTGGGCTGCAGCAGGAGAGGGCACCTTCCCTGGTGAATTGTGTGTGAGGCCTTAACATTGCAAACAGATTTCAGAGAACACATTCAAACATATTTTGGGAACTGACAGATCCTTGTTTCAGTTCTGTTGTGGGAGAGGAGACTTGGGTGAACCATTAGAATTCTATTTAACATTTGTCTGTGATCTTGTTTGATAAGGTTGTACTTGCACAGGACTGTAGTTATTCTCCCCCTGGGGTTCTTACTGATTTGTTCAGTAAGAGTTCACTGTTGAAAGCTGCTCTGAGGATGAGTTGGGTCTGTGTCTCTGAGGAACTCCCTGGCTTTTGGATGTTGCTTCACTGGCAGCAGGACTTGGGCAGTGTGGAGTCCCTGCTGCAGGAAGACTTGGGGAATACACCAAAAAAACCTCTTCTATTCCTGTGCGTGCTGAAGTTCAACAAAGTGCTTAGGTTGGCTTCTCTCCTGACTTCTGGGTTCAGTAAAGACTTTCAGTTTTCCAGCACAGAAATCCATAGAAAGTCGGGAGCCCTGGTGGGATTTGGGAGTCTCAGCAGATGTGCTTTGACTTTACCATTAGTGCTTCCATTTGGATTAATGATTAATGCCTGTTGATTCCAATGAGGGAAGAGCTTCTGCACTGTTCATGTGTGAGCATGAGCAAGGCACAGAGAACAAACCTATGTGCTGCCCTGAGTAATTTGTGGGGAGCTTCAAGCAGCTCTGTTCTGGGACCAGAAGTGCTACAGAAGAGGACCATGGCCCAAGCTGAGCAGTGAGAAATAACCTGCTCCAGGTGCTTTGACTTCAGCCTTTGTTTGTCTTTCCCGTGGAGATTTGTCACTGCCACTTCTGAGATGATGAAAAACTGCACTGATGGGCATTAGAGAAGTGGATTCTTTCTTATGATCTAAATTCCAAGTGGGGAGAAAGGTATAAGAGATGCAAATTGAGTGATACTAAGGGAGAGAAATACTGCCCATCCAGCAATTCTGTAATCACCATCCATCCTTGCAAGATTTTTATTAAACTTGCCCTCTCTTGGCAGTTCCAGCAGCCCAGATTAATTCCCAGTGCTCTGATCCCCACTAGCAACTTGGAGCTGATGCAAAAGAGCACACTGCCTGTTTCATATGATCCTTTCCAGGGCAAATCTTCTGGTGTCTTCATCTCCATGCCTTTATAAATCTTTCTGCTGCTTTTCCAATTTGTGTGGTGGAGAGATACTAACCAGTCACATGAATGTAAGGGTCCACTATTAATCCTCCTTTAGCACAAGGCTGGGGGCTTATTTTGTATCCATTGCCTTCACTCTTGAGCTGCAGTTTTCCCACTGCTTTTCTTGCAGCTTACTCAGCGTGGGCAGGAGGTCCCAAAGAGAAGGGATGGAATTGCTGTGTAGCTTCCATGAGTAAAGGCACAGAGGTGCCACCTGACTCTGAGGTGTAGCTAGTGTGCTGCAGAGGGTAGAGCTCAGTGCCAGCAGGGATTTAGGTCTCAGGAGGCCATTTCCCACCCAGTCACTGGGTGTCATTAGCAGTGTGTAAAGAACTGGGCACTGCTGGACTGGAGTCCCACTTGTGCAGTGGCCTGGTCTGTCATCTGACCTTCCCTTTCCTGCAGGAGAACACTGGAGTGCAGCATTTGGTGTAGGGTTGTTCCCTGGGGCCAGGGAGTTGGGAACTCCTGTTTGGGGGAGGAAAGGTGCTCATGGGACAACCCCCATCCAGAGGGTCCCCTCTGTAACTCCCAGGATGAAAGGCTGGTTGTTGCTCAAGCTCCAGGGCTTACACACCCTATAAAGCTCTTGGAGGTCTATTGTTTCTTCTCTTCTGCAGGGCTCACTGTTATAACTGGTTATTCTTCTCACTATAAATCCATGTTTTGAAGTCACTGAGTACATGGTGTGTTATATCTCCTGGAAATATTATATCTTGTTTTGTCCACAGTTTAGGGGTTTTTTCATCCAGTTTTGTATAGACCCTTTTAGTCTTTCTCTTCTCTTTTTGAATTAAAGTTGTGTCCTCTGCATGGGTTTTTTTCTCTGCACTTTTACAGGCTGGGTTGGGTGGTATGATTAATTATTGACAAATTAAATTGGTACCTGCCTTAGCTGAAAGTTAAACTGGAATTTGGTAATTAAGGATATGGACTTACATGTCAATGAGAAGACTTAAAACACAATGTATGTGAATAGGTCTGAACTGAGAACTTAGTCCTGAAGTAGAATAGGCTTCTCAACTTCTAGTGAACTAAGACAGTTCAGGTCCTATTCACTAAATACAGAGTGAGAGCTTCATGATAGGGGTAAAACTCAGAAAAGGATAGAAGACTGGCAGCAGCATGAGTAAGGCAGAGACTGTGGGGATGTATTCCACTCCTTTGATTGTATTCTATAGAAAATCTGTTCTGTTTGAAGGATTCACTTTAAAATGGGAGAGTTTTGCTTTTCACTAATGGCAGGAACTCTGAATGTTGCTGCCCATTGCAGCGTGGGAATGTGGTGATGACACCATGAAACCTGCTGTGGGCAGAGCTTTCCCAGCCCATTTACAGAGTGCTCCAGCAAAGCCAGTGGGGCTGTGTTTTGGCTGGGGGGGGAAGGTGGTGGGAGGAAAAGGCTTCAGGTGCCCACTGCCAGATAAGCAGAAACTCTCATTCTGCCTCCTGTAAACTTTGCCATAGAAGGTGGAGGAAGGAAGGAGACCTGACAGTGAGTGGGTAGTGCTGTTCATCTCCACTCCTTCAATGTTTGCTGGCACTCCCCTGGCAGAGTTGAGCTCCTGTGCACACCTGGGAGGCATCAGGAGTGGTTTCATCCCTCTCCCAAAGAACTGAGCCAGTGTTTGTTTGTTTGGGGGGGTGTAGGATCCCTCCAGCCTCACCTGTAACCCTGCAGGTGATCAGGGAAACCCTGGAGTGCCCAGCACGGAGCTGGTGCTCTGTCAGTTCTGGGCACACAAAGGGAGGAGCCTGGCCATGATCCCACAGAAACTGAAGCTGTTCCAGGCTATTAAGAAAAGTCATAAACAGATAGGAATAAAACTGGGATCAGGGCTCCAAAGCAGTAAAATAACAAAGGTCAGGAGGTCACTGACTGACTGAGGGGTGTGTTGCCAGTGAGAAGAGCAGCAGATGCAGCAGGCAGGGACAGAAAGGGGGTTCCTGCACCTGAGAGGGGTTTCCAAGAACCCCTGTCTGTATCAGTACTGAGACAAACTGGGAAACTGCTGCACTTGATCAAAACAAAACTCTCGGTGGTGGGGGAAATACTAAAATATGTCTGCGTGTACAGGTGATTTCTGAGCTGATAAAACACACCTTCAGTGGTCACATGATGGTATTCTCTTGGGCTCCTGGTTTCATATGGATATATTGCATTACTAATTGTTTATTAATAATACAGAAACACCAAGCACAAATTTGTCGCTGTCAGAACTGAGGTTGACAGTGTTACCCGGTATGAAACAGATAACAGTTAAATATTATTTCATGAAGAAGCAAAACCAATTCAAGAAATCACTTTTTAATTTGTGTTGTAAACTGATCTCCCAGTAACATACAGAGGCTCTGACTGTGCTGGCATGTTTTGAAATGTGGATGTTTCTAATGCTTCTTTTTCAAGGAATAAAATACCAGAATTAAAACATTCATGTAATATTCAGTATGTTTAAACTATCCTTATTTCTCCCTTGTACAGGGATAATACTGCTCACTGTTAAGCTGCTTCTGTTAGGGTTTGAATTTTTTAAACCATGCAGTGGATCATTAATCCAATTGAACTTTCTGCAAAAGCTGTGGGACTTACTCTTTTGTGATGTTAATGGTGTTGGGATGGATTTTGTAGCTCTGCAGTTTGCTTAATTTTTCTGCATTTCCTGCATTAACAAAAGAAGATTGTGAAGTGACCAAGAGAAGATCAGGCAGCAGCAAAGAAAGTGTCTCTGTGTTGTCTTGGGTGATGTCATTGGGTATTTAGATAGTCTCTAGCTCCAAGGGTCAAAATATTTTGTTTGTACTGATTGAATTTGGATCGTGTCACAAGAATTGTCATTTATGGCCATTGTGTTGTTACATTTTCAAATTTGGAAGCTTGGTTGGATTCCCAGTGAAGAGTTAATCCCATCAGCTTGGCTGTTGGGGTTCTGGGGGGAATGCAGCATCCAGAGGGAGGAGTGACTCAGCCACAGGTGCTGCTGCTGGGCCTGGGAGCCCTGGGATGGGCAGGACTTGCCTCTGTCCCTGAGCTGTGCTGGGGCTCAGCTGGGCACTGCCATCACTGCCTGTCTGTGCACAGAGAGCAGGGCATCTGGGGTCCAGGGCTGGGCACACAGAGGGCACAGCTGGAACTGGAACATCAGCTTCTTTTGATTCTGCACACCACGTGAAAACACTTGGCACCTGCAGCCAGGACGTGAGTCCCCGTTGCTGTCACTGCTGCCTTGCACTGGCTTGGCTGCCAAGAGGAAAAGATGGAAATGTCACTAACTCCTGGTTTGAAAGCACATTACAGGACAAATGGTTTCTTTTTACCCATTTCTTCAAGAGACAGCCTTGTTCAAAGCATTCCTGTTATTGTTGCACTCCATACTCTTGTGTGTATTGTTGAGCTGTTCCTTTAGCAGCAGGAAAGCATTGAGACTTTGACGTTCCGAAAATGGGTTGTGTTAACTTCTCTTTTTCTTTCACTACGTTACAGGTACAGTAAGAATTGAAATGTTTAGGAACATGCAAAATGCAGAAATCATAAGGAAAATGACAGAAGAATTTGATGAGGTAGAGTATACAAATAGTTCTTTAAATATTATGAAATATATTACTGTATACTCCTATCCTAAATTAAAAATGCAATGAGCAAAAAAACAGTGGGAAAGCAGTGCCTCAGTATGGGAAATTGCACTGACAAGCAAAGCAGAGAATTTTGCTGTTGGATGAGGAATAACAAGCCAACTTTAGGAAGGAGATAAATGGTATTATTTATAATGAACAACCAACAAGTAATACAATAATTTGTAAGGTGGTTATAGTCACTCACCTTGACAGGTCAGTGCCGTGGGTTGGGTAAGCCCTGGATCTGAAATACTGGTACTGAAAAGTTGGGAGTTAGGCATTTTAATGTCAGAAGTCTAGTGTCACACAAAAGCAGGGAGCAGGCTCACTCCAGGGTGTCACAGAGCCAGGTCTGACTGTGCAGGAACCACCTGGGACCATGTGAGCCCTGGGCTGGACCCGTGGAGACCCTCCTGGATCTTTGTGTGGCTTTGGGGACACCCCTGTGTGTGTGTCCCTCCTGGATCAGGGAGAGCTCAGGGAGAGGAGCACAGGAGGAACTGTGGAGCTCTGATCCCACTGCCCCTGGCAGTGCCATTCTGGGCCCTGACATTCACCTCCTGGAAGTGCCACCACACAACAAAGAACTGCAGGGCCCTGAGACAGGCAGAACCCTCAGACAGGACCGCAGCATTGGCACCACTGGGCTGTTTTCTGTGTGCAAAGTAATGGTCTGTTCGTTTGAAATGGCAATTTAAACCAAATAGGAACTTGGCATGAGAAGTACCATTTTGGAACAGTGATGCAGAAAGAAGAACTCTTTCAAAAGATCTAAGCATTTAGTTGAAAACAAGTGTGTTACAAGTCAGGCTGTGTGTCTTCTGTCCAAATAAACATGTTCCTAATGGTGAATGCTTTTTAGCTTTGAGGTTTTCAAACTGTGTTTCCTTTGATTTTCACGTATAAAAAGCTGGATATTCTGAGCGTTCCTTTTATTTAATGAGGAAAACAAATGCTGAAACAGGAGTTTTCTGTAGGACAGCAATGTCTGTCTGATCAATTCTAAATGGAATGCCAAGGCTGTGATTCAGAAAGTTAAACAGGAAAACTATAAATAGAAGCACTGCTCTTTCTCAGGATTTCCTTCTGCATGATTTCCATCTTGTTCATGGCCTTCAGTGGAAGATGTTTCACTGAACACCTGACTGCAGCCATGGGGTGCTCCTTTGCTGTGCTCAGGTGTTCAGGCAGTTTGTGTGCATGGACAGAGAATAAAATTTGGGTGTCCAGTGATGAGCCGAAGGGTTGTATCAATTCATGCTAAATTACTTTTACTTTTTAAAACATCACCAAGCAGAGTTATTAAAATGCAGTGGTGTAGTTTAAATTTTACTTGGGTCATTTAAAAACCAGCATTGGATATGGTGTGTAGTCCAGTCCCATCATATAAAATAAGGGACCAGTGCACTGTCCAAAGGCCAAAGAACTTTGATTTTGCCCAAGGGCAGGTTGTCCCACAGTTGATGGAAGAAAGTATTTTTCAAAAACACTTTTCAAAAACTGTCAAAGTTGTTTCTCAAAGGAGAAACAACCACTTCCTTATGCAGGGCATGAATGTACCTAAGAGCAGGATGCCTCAGAGAGTTACAGGGTGCACGAGCTTTCTTTCTCAATTACTTAAAACTTCTCAGGGCTTTTACAGTTCTAACACCTGTAGCTTCTGCCTTAACACTTGAGTGGATTCGTGAGAGAGTTTGTGGGGTTTAGTATAAAAGCATCAAGTTGTTAGTCTTAGACTGCAACTTGGTGAATATTTTGTCCTCCAGGATTATCTGTTGGCGTTTCCCTTGTGACACCTCTGCCAGTAGCCCAGAAATCCCAACTGTTCCGTTGTTCCCTCAGTGCTGCAGGAATCATTTGGCTGCTAGCCCGAGTTGCTGCATTTAGGGCAGGGATTGAAGCATTGATTTTCCTCCTCATGAATGGAGCAATGCCTGTGCAGGATTTAAAGGATGGAAATAACTGTTCATTGCTGCCACAAGTTCAGTTTGAGGCGGGGAATTCCATGGGCATCGATTGGCTACACTGTTTGGGTGCTTGGCTTATGAGCAGAGGCATTTTGCAGGTGGATTGCCTTATAATTCTTGTGTTAGAGTTGAGCAGGTGAACAAAGACTTGGTTTGCTTTGACTTCTCTGAGTGTTGGACCATCGAGTATCACATCAGTGTCACTAATGTGTCATGTTTTTATTGGTAAAAGATCCACTAAATGGGTTTTACTGTAAATTCATTCTTCCCACTTCAGCCAGGTGAGGTGTTCTCGGGGCAGTCTCCAGAAGCCTTTTGAAAGGGTTGTGTGATTTGTGATTGCAGGTAAAAATACACCACACATCTGTGAGTAGTTACACACAGCCCTAGAGATTCTGAGGAGCTGCTCCAAAACTCTGCATACCCCCACCTCTAGAAAGTGTAATTATGTACCAAAGTTCATGTGCAGAGGTCCATCAGATCATTTTGGTGTGGTTCAAATGTGTGGGATTTGATTAAATTTGAGGGGCAGGGGTTTTGCTGCAGAGGAATGTAATATGTAAAGATTAAGCACAAGGTTATTTGATTGCAGCTCCTCTACACCCACATTACCACCTTTACATGGTTCAGTCTGGGCAGTACAACATGTCCTGAGGAGCAAGGAGCTTGTTCTGCACAAAACCACAGAATGAATATGTACAAATGGATTTAACTTTGGTACTACTGACTTCTTATCTTGGGGGAGAGATTGAGGCTGGAGCATTATTGCCCTGATGGTTTGGATAATCTGGAATTGGCTTACAAACCAGGTGGCCAGGGAGGTGGTATTCAGGCTTTTTCAGGGAAGGGGCAAAAAGCATGTTCTAATTCTGTGGGGCTGGTCTCGCTGAAATGCAGTTTGTACAGTGAAGTGAGAACAGTCAGGGCAGACTTGGAGAGGAATTAAAGGAACTGAGTGTTCACATGCCTACTCCAATCTTGTAATAGCTTTTTGAAGATGGAGTGGATGAATCTCTAGTAAAATTTCCATTTCCTCTGTCAGAAGGCAAGTTTTACCTCTAGGAAAAGGTTATGTTTATAAGCTAAAACAGAGCAGTGTTTACTTTCTGAAAAGATCTCAACTGTAAACTTGAGCAAAGCAAAGTCTGTGGGGAGGGGCAGCCAGTTAAATAGAATATTAACCTGGAGTTGAAGTGGGGCTGGAGAGTGACAGCTTTCAATTACACAAGCCTTTCTTTAGGTTTTGACCTGAAATAATTGGAAATATTCCTTTCTCATGCTTTCCCCCCACTTCCTAACCCAGGACACAAGGAAAAGAATTGAATCTGGATACATATTTTGGACTATACAGAGCCAATAGTGCAAGTGTAAAACAGTTACAATGAAGTCTTTGCAAAAGTGGTTTTGTGCCCCCGAGGTTCCCCGTTTATTGAAGAATAATGTGGGTTTTATTTGTTATTCTTCCTTGGCTTGAAGGAACACGAGCTTAGAAATTCAGCCCGGGACGGCTACAACAGCATTAAAATAACTGGAACGGGCAGCCCCTCAACACTCCCTGTTTTGCTTTCCCTGCCCTGCAGGACAGTGGGGACTATCCCCTCACCATGCCCGGGCCCCAGTGGAAGAAGTTCCGCTCCAACTTCTGCGAGTTCATCGGGGTCCTGATCCGGCAGTGCCAGTACAGCATCATCTACGACGAGTACATGATGGACACGGTGATCTCCCTGCTCACAGGGCTCTCCGACTCCCAGGTCAGGGCCTTCAGGCACACCAGTACCTTGGCTGGTAAGTGACAGCTCGGGGCAGCTGCTGCACACGAACTGCTGCTGCTGAGCCACCGGGAGAGCTCCTCCTGCCTTGGCTGGGATTTGACCAGCACTTAGAACTGTGGAGAGCTTGAGCAAAGCCAGGTACCACGTATGGGACAGCTGTACTCAAAGTACACTTTTTAGTTTGGAAAGGAGTAGGTGGGGCACTGAGTCTCAGGGGTTCCGGTCATACCCAGGGGCCTCCAGTGGATCCTCAGAATCAGAAGTGCTGTGCTTATGTCTTGGAGTTTGTTATTAGTTGTTCCTTTGTTGTATAGAATGTCTTAATAATTTTGTATTTTGGAGTACAAATTCATTCTTAAGGAGTGTCAAGACAATTTTATTATCAGAGAATTTCTGTCCACCAATAAGAACAGTCTGACCTTCACTCTGGAGAAGTTTTAGGTTTGGGAGCACTGGGCCAAGGGTGAAGGGCTCCAGCCACACCACACCTTTCATGCAGCTGCCTGCATGTAAGGAGAGCCCTGGGTGCAGCATAGGAATAGGAATAGGCTTTTCTAGAGTGTATTTCATCAGACCTCTATGTCTGCTGTAAGATGGATGAATTGCTCTCTACAAGTAACTGTTTTTCTCCAGTTACAATGTAATACCAGGCTTGGATGTTGGTGCTTAAAGCTGGTCATGTCAGGTGACAAGGAACACATTTTTTTGCACCTTTACAAAGGTGTCAGAATCTGAATATTGCTACAGCCAACATTTGTTACTGATTTAGTCTTTCCACAATCAGCCTCATACAATTTTGCTCAGTTTCTGAGTGTAATACCCAGTGTCCAAGAGAGTCAATCAGAATTTGTTTACAATTTCATCTCTCTTTATGAATTGAAGCAAGAGGCAGATTTCCAATGATACTGAAAAAACAACTCAAATCTGGAGTGGAGTTTGATTTCAAAATTGAAACCCCAAACCTTCAGCTCACAGTGACTGAACTCTTGTAAACTCATCCCCTCCTCGTGCTTTTCATGTTACTCAGCAATGGGCTGATAAAACCTTGAATTATGCAGGTGAAACCTTCCAGGTTTAGAGTTTCCTCTACAAATGGAGCATTCAAAGGTGAACACTGTTTGAGCCACAGGTAACCTGCTGGAAATACCTGCCTGTTATTTAAACTGTATCCCTTTCCATCTGATGCCATCTGCAATTCCAGGGGATTTTGATTTGCTATTTGCTCGGATTGGGGTTGATTGTTTCGTAGGGAAGAGTTTATGGAGTGGGGTCTGTGCACTCTCCCTTGGATTGGTTGGTCCCTCCCTGCATGGGATGTTTGGAAAGTATGAGGGGCTTGATTGAAAAGGCAGGAAACAGCACCACACGTTTGAGATGTTACCCAGGGCCTCTGCTGTGTGGAAGAAGGAGTTCCCATTGTTTGGAATGGATTGTGTAGCTGGAAACTTGTAGCAAGGAAAAGCTGAAGCTAAAGCCAAAGTTATCACAAACTAACTTCAGTTACTGCATCAGTTAGACTGTACCTGACAGTGTGCTGGGAACAGGACCTGCCAGAGATCTCCAGCACTTACCAGTGACAATACCAGCGACATTTACTTATTTGTTTGCTTGTTTTAACGAGCTTGAGAGCTTTGTTTTGATTCTGCAGATTGCCTTCAAGCTGTGTTTGCACATGTAATTATGCTGCTGTCCTGCAGAGCAGAGGTCCACATGATACCGGGGAGCTCAGTCTTGATCAAGTTTATGAAAATCTACTTGTAGAATTTCAGTTCTGGAAGGAGTGTTTCTAAGGTCCTTGTTTTCAGTTTTCCTCTGTACCAGTCAATTTGAATGAGAAATTATTCCCTGTAGCAAGAAACTTAAGGCAAGAAGTACCTGTGGGTTCCCAGCTTTGAGCAGTAGCAGGATAAGTCAGAGCAGCTTCTCTTCTGCATTGGTGAGGTTGCTTTCCAGATGGCTGTGTGCCAGGGGGAGGTGGGTGTTTTCTGAGAGTGTGGATGTGCTGAGGAAATGGGGGTTTTAGCTCTGATTACAGGTAAAGCCTCAAGTTCTGTCTTCTGCCTTTGCAGCTATGAAGCTTATGACTGCTCTTGTGAATGTTGCCTTAAACCTGAGCATCCATCAGGATAATACACAGAGGCAGTATGAAGCTGAGAGGAACAAAATGATTGGCAAAAGAGCTAACGAGAGGTTGGAGCTGCTGCTTCAGAAAAGAAAAGAGGCAAGTGAAAAGATGATTTCTTTTTTTGCCTGTTCATGTGCCTTCCCTCCAACAGAAAGCCCAGGGTGGTTTGTGACTCGAGTGCCATAGTGAGAAAGAGATGAGTTCTGCAGTGGTGTTTGTGTGACCTCAGACCTATTACTTGGGCTACATTAAATCCTGTGTGAATACATTCAGCTGAGTTTGTGCCTGTTTTGCACTCACAGGATGATTCCTGTTCTCAGGCTTCTCTGTATGACCAGGCAGGAAGAGTCTCAAGTTGTAAGTAGTGACTGTTCTGATTATGCAAAGAGATTCTGACAAGAGGATCACATTGTCCCTCCCTGCACTGCCCATTTCTCCCTCTGATCCCTGCAGTTATTCCACAGTGTCTCATTACTGCTTCTTGTTGGAGCTGCTTTCAAAGAACACTGCAGTGGGGCTGTAGAACCCGGGCTCAGGGACAAGAAGCTGGGGAGACATTGAAGTCACTTTTCAAAAGTACCAGTCTGGCATTAGGGGAGAAAAAACATTAGAAGGTTGCTGTAATCATCTCTAAATAATTTAAAGTATTATATCATAGTTTAGAGTTGTCCTTAAAAGAAACTTAAAGGTGACAATTAGAAAATTAATACATATACAGCCAAACAGCCATAATCTGTAAAGATGCCAAGTAAAACTCATGAGAGTGATTGAAAAATTGAAGTTTATATGACTTTGATTAAAATTTTTTATTTTTAATATATTAGTTTCGAATATATTTCCTCCACCACAGTTTTACTCTGTGGTAATTAAGGATGTCTGGGTGTTTTACCTGTGTGCCCCTTAGATTCTTTTAGGTATAACTTTGACTCAGAATTGCTTGACTTTATAGTCTTTGTTTGGGGATAATTACAATTGTGTATTTTTTTTTACCCCTATATCCTTAACACAATTATATTTGGTTTTCACAGTTCTTAAAAATCATACATTAAGGCACAAAGTAAGAACAATTTCTCCATGCAAGAGAAACATTTTAAATGAAATATCAAACTGAATGCCAGCTTTAAAGCATTTTGAAAGGCAAAATAGCTGGAACAGAGCTTGTATGGCAGTTCCTGACATAATGCTGTGTATTCCCAGGGTTTAACTGTGCTGAATTTACAGGATATTCTGTGCTGGCACTTTGTTAGACGATTCTTTTGATGAAGTGCCATCATAATAAACCCTCCTAAGCACATCCCCACGTGTTTATCTTCCTCAAGTACCAGAGGGACAGCTGCCAGGCTGAGTGTGGCAGATGAGTGTGAGCAGAGGGGATGGAGCAGTGGCTGGGTGTCCCTTGCCCTGTCACCCCCTGCTCACTGCTGGGGAGTCTCTGCCTTGTCAGGGGCCCTCTCAGCTCAGCTGGGGCATTTCTGGAGCAATCTGCCACCAAACACAGCAAGTCATGTTGTAGCTGCTACCAGGAATTCAAATCTCCTGCTTGTCATACATGGCTTTTTGAGCTTCTGAAACTGCCTGCAGAGTCAACAAGAGAGTGTTTCCCTCATTCCTCACTTAGGTTCAGGAGTGGGGAGGATTAAATCACTTTTGCGTTGGTAAGAGCAGGAATCCCAAGACACAGATGTTCTCTCAAGATGCCTGAAGTTAAGCACTCAGATTCAAGTGCATGATCTAGAAAAGCTGAGAGTGTAAAAAGCAATTACAGTTTCAGAGAAAATTCATTACTGAATCTAAAATACATCTGGGAATTGTATCCTTTAAATGTTAGTACACAGAGGTAGAAGGGAGCTCACGTGGACCTACTGAATGGCTGATTCTGCTTCTACACCAGCTCTGCCCCAGCACCTGGAGACCTGGACCAGATGATTTGCGTTGATAGTGAACTGTGAATTCTGGGCAGCAGAGGGAGGAAACCATCCATGCTGTCCCTTCATCTGTGCTGCTTCATTTTGCTCTCAAACTAATGTCATCTTCAGCATCTCAAGTGTCTCATGGCTCAGGAAGCCCAGTCTGTCCTACCTCCCTTCTGTGCTGTGTTCACATCCCAATGATTCCTGCCCAAGTTCTCCAGGAGCTCCCCTTTCCCTGTCAGGGCTGGGGTAGTTTCTCAGAAAGCCTCCTGAGGCTCCTTGGTTCATTCCCATCCCCATTTTACTGCACACCCTGTGCCTCTACCCCCATGTTCCCGTGGATGTTTGCTTGCCTGCGGAGTCACCCAATGGAGGAGTGATTAGAAATTCATGCTCCCCTTTGGGTTATGAATTCTTGAGCAAGCAGTTAGTCTGTGCTTATTTGGGTTGAGCTGATGCTGAAAGCAGGGCTGTTCCCAGAAGCTGTGTCTAGATATGCTTGTTTTGTGTAGAGCCCTGTGCTGTACACAGAGCTGGGGGGCACCAGCTTTACCCCTTGTACAGAATCCCTTTTACTGTGGAATTCAGTTTCTTTGGCAGGTTTTTGGCAATTCAGTCAAGAACACTTCATGCCTTGTTTTCCCCATGTGCAAAATGGAGACAGCACCTCCTTACATTTTAGGAAACTGGGAGGCTTCATTGACTGATTTCTGCAAGCTACTTATGCTCTTACCTGGAAGATACTGTAGAAATATTTATAAACAAGGCTTGAAAAACATAAGCCCCTGGGTGAAAGTGTTTATGAGCTCCTGCCATGCAGGAAGTCAAAGAAGCTGCCTCTGGCTGTGAAATATTTTATCTGTTAAATATGCACACCCACAATTATCCAGGTTTCATTATTTTACACATATGTGCACTCTGTTCTAGCAAGGCTCTGTTGTGGTTTTTGTGCTGAGAATATGGGCACATTTCCATTCCCACACATCATGGGGCCCTGCTTGGACCAAAGGAATACCTCATGGAAGAAGGAGGGCTCTGGATGTGGGAGCAGGGCTGCTCCTAGAGCTGAGTGTATAAAATTGGTGCCATCTTATTAAAAAAGATGCATTTAGGTGTAATTAAGTCATACTTACTTAGTGTAGTACAAAAGCTGACAGTATGAGAATGCTGTAATTAATTCCAAGTTGTGTTAGCATATTCATTGGCACAAGGTGAGCTTCCAGTAGTACTTACAAAACATGCCCATATTATGTAGGAAATATAAAGTTTTTTAAAAAACCACTCATATTTATAAAACACCTTTCTCGTTTGGGATTGGGCTTTGGGTTTGATTTGACTTTCTGCAGCCTAAGGCCTGGATGTCACATGTGCTCCAATTCTGGAAAGTGTCCTGGTTCTGAAACCCCCTTACCCTGGGTGCTGAAGTTTGAAACAACTGACAGTCAGACTTAAGATTGAGAACATCTTCAGCTACTTTCTCTAAACTGAGCATTAATTTTGTCCAAATTAATCTTTGCAGCTGTCACTCCCTCAGCTCAGTCTCACTGTGGACACAGCACTGCTGACATTGCTGAACACGTCTCTGCTTGTCTTATCTTCAGTAGCAAAAATTGGTGATCACTTCAAAGGCCTAATCTGAAACTGCATTGATGTTTGTAGTGAATGTTGATTTTCTTCCATTAAGACATTGCGTGTGTAAAAGTAAATATTTATTTGTATATGCACACAATACAGGCACTTGCTGGAAAAGCAGAAATGGAGTCCTCTAAGGTGCTCTTCTGTGGTCTTCCAATGTTTCCCAACCAGGAATTGTAGAATATCAAATTATAACAAGCAATGGGATTTTATTTATTTGTTTTGTTTTGTTTTTTTGCAGCTACAAGAAAACCAAGATGAAATCGAGAATATGATGAACTCTATTTTTAAGGGTATATTTGTTCATAGATACCGGTAAGGAAATGCTAACAAAGTACAGCCATAACAAATGGCAGGGGCAGTTTCTGTGCTGATTCTCTTGTGCTGGAATATTGTAGATGCCACAAAAGCACTATGAAAAACACTTGAAGTTGTGAAAGAACATATTAAGTGTAACCCCCCCTTAATTCCACAATAGAGCCCATCCACACAACTTTGTTCTGATTCAGTAAAATGGCTTTAAAGAGCTGTGGGAATGTGGGCTTTGAATGTCTGTGATTTGAAGAGTTGTCCAGGGTGGGAGCTCAGGCTGGACATACCTTAAATTCATCAAATGATCACTGCATATCTTGGCTGCTGAGTGTCTTTAGCCTTCCTGGCCTTTTGTATGGCTTGGATGTGAAGCAGATTGGGAATGTGGCTTGTCAGAGAGCAGAAGTCTTTTAAAATAGATTTAGGGTAGTTTTACATCACAAGATGCCTCAGAGCATCTGCAGCACCTTAGTGCAACCAGCTCTTTAAATGTTAATTGACTTACTGAAGTCAGAAGATAAAATTCAAGGATACTAAACTATGCAATTAACCTTTCACTTTTAAATTCTGGTTTAAAGTTTTAGAATTTCTGAGATCTTTTAGAAAAATGACAGAAAGCAAGAAAGGGTGTATGAGCAGAGGGTTAGAAGGTGGTGAGGAGCCCATAGTTCAGTTGGACAGAGGGGTGATTGTAAATGTGGAGAAAAACAAGCAGGAAAGCTGGACAGGTTTGTGCTGAGAAATATATGAGTGTGCCCCGTGGAGCTGGAGCTTGGATCTTCAGTACCCAGCCTGACCTGGAAGGGAAGGTTGTAGTTTATGATCAGGAAGCCTTGAGCTGCCTGGCAACAGCAGGGTGGGTGTAGGGCCAGCAGGTGAAGGAGCGTGTTGGGTCAGCAGAGCACTCACTGTTTCCTTAGGAAAGCAACTTCCATGGCAGGGAGGTAAAAAAGCTAAAGAAATTAAACCCTAAGAGTATTCCCATTTCTGTCCCCTCAGAATTCAGCATATTATATCAAACAAGAAGTCACTTGAAAATATTTTCCTAGTAGTTCATGCTCTTGTGTGAGGTTGGGAAAAGACTCTACCTGTTACGGTCTGCTTTTATCCTCCCGGGCCCAGGGGGATAAAAATGGAAAGCATTTCAAACTATTATCTGCTTTCATAATTTCTTAAGCATTCCTTCTCTCAAACAATTCGAATGTTTTATAAACTTGATTTTACAGTCCTTAGACCAAGTGGTAATGATGTCAAAAGAATGTTATTTTAATTACTCCTAGAGAATAAATCCTGTCCCATAATGGGATTCAGCCTCAGCCACAGTGATTCATGCCTAGGGACCTTTGTAACTTAAATTACAAGTCCTTGATCTAAACAAAACCCCCAGAACTCTTTCATTCAGAATGTCTTCCTACTGCTGTTCTTTCTGTAGATTGGCTTCAAATGTACTGGAAGATTCCAATGCTCACTTCTCTCATTAAAGAAAAAAAAAAAAGACTTGCAGAAATAGCTGAACAGTTTTCTAGGTGTAATGCTAGTCTAGTGTTAACAGCAGATTTGGTGGAAAATTGAGATATTCCTAATAAACATGCAAGAAATGTCCTCACCTCATTGCATATTTCCTTATCTTGTTCCTGAATCACTTTTTCTCAATGTTTCTGTGCTGGCTTATGACATATTTGGTTGTCCATTAATTTTATTTTTAATCTAAAACTGAGAGCATCAAAAGGAAGATGTGAGAGTAAATTCAGGGTCAAGGTGCTGAGCTCATGTTGACCATAAAGCAACAGAGATGGTGATGGGAAGAATTCTGATTACAGTCCTACTTCATAATATCCTTTTGTTTTCAGTGCTCACAGAGCTTTTCCTCCAGATGTGACTGTCTCCCAAAACAGAACTAGGACAGTTTTGGCTTCTGGCAGAGCAGAATGGGGATCCTGGGCCTGAGGGACACGGTGGGTGCAGGGTTTCTGCAGGGCACTGAGCTGTCCTGAGGGAATCTTTGGGCAGGACTGACAGGAAAGGTAAAACTGGCAAAATCTAGATGGCATTCTGTTTTTGTGGGGAAGATACTTGTCTCCTTCCAAGGTGTTGCTTTCCCTCCTGCTGAGTAAATAGGAGGCTGGTGACAAGTTACATGGGAATTGCACTCTGGGAAACCAGAGGGTTGCATGAGCAAAAACTAGAGGGGATATTGGATGGCAGTCTTGTGAGGAAGCAAAAACCAGTCAGCACAGGGAAATGAAAACCCAAACCAAGCCAGAGAAAAATCCGTTTCCCTCCACCCTAAATGTGTTATCCTAAGGAGGTGAAACATATCTCCTAGGTGACAGGAAAATGTATTATGTTTTTATGTCTTTATGGAGTCCGGAAAAAAAGGTAGAAAAGACATTTTTGTCCAGTTCTCCTCATAATTACATCCTCAAAAAGTTTACAAACTGCTGAGCAGCCCAAGAGACAGGCCCAGTTGGGTTCAACTGGCAGGGGTATGTTATTGTAGAGCTGCAGCATTCCCTGTCCCTTGGGTGAGTGGGAATTTGGGATTCCAGCTCTCAGAAAGCCTCAGGCAGGTGAGGCACCCTCCGTCCTGTCTTTGAGGAAGTTGCATCACGGGAGGTCTCTTTACCAAGAGTAGGAACTATGACCAGGAGCTAAACTGTATTGAACTGTGTAAAGATTAGAAGAATTGGAGTTTAATGACAAGGAATTATCTAATGCACAGCAAAGGCATAAAGGTTTTTGGGCTGTGTTGTGTTTGATGCAGCATTGTATGGGCATGGAGTCTGTGTTAGTGATTCCTGCAAGGACACAAAGGATTTGAATTGGTGAGAGTTACCTGGGAGATGCTGGTGGGGTGGGAAAGGGTGTCACACAAGTTCTGCCTCTTCAGCAACTTGAGTGTGTTTGCTAGTCCCACATGCCTTATTCATGGTTCTTCCCCTTTTCAATTATACTGAAGGTGTTAAATTTTTATTATACTAAAATATTTTAATCAGTGGAATAGCCTTTTTTTTTTTTTTTAAATTAGCAGCTTGGAATGAGTGTCTGTCCATAGTGCCTGGGGATCCCAGAGGAGCTTTTCAATCAAGAAGCAGTTTTTCCCTGTCTGCCTGGGGAAGATTGAATGCATGCTTACAGAAAACATCGTTTCTCCTGATTTTTGGCTGGCTGTGCTGCATGATTAAATAGTTGTTGACATTTGGGTTCTTTTTGGGATTGCCATTAAATCCTTCCAAAATTCTTCACAGTTAGTAAATTTCTAAGGTGGTGAAATACCCTACTTGGATGTGAGGCCCTGGGCTGTCATCCCCTCCTGGAAATGCCTTTGTGGCTCCTTTGTGTTGTTGTGGCTGCCCTCTTTTCTTGATTCACACAGGCCAGTCCTTTAGACTGTGCTGTAAGTCTTGCATTCTTGCTTTTAAAATAGTTGTAAAGTAATTCCGTACAAGGGAATTGCTAATCTAGTTTAGTATAAAGCAGTACACAATTAAATATATATGTAGGAATATATTCATGGTTTTAATTCAGACTTGTCTCCATTGTGCTGCATTCCCCATAACAAATGCAATTGCTAACCCTTGAATGTGAGATTTTAGCACAACTGTCCTTACACTTCTCAGCCTGTTTGAGAAATGCCCATGCTGTGGTTTGTCTGCACTGTGGGTGGACACCTGCCCTGGTTCTGAGGTTGGAGAGCCTTCAGGGGGTTTGTCAGAGCAGCTCCAGGGGCCGTGTTTGGCAGTTCTGAAGTCGGTGTGTGTCTCGTGGGCAGGGAGGGCTGGCAGTGGTTGGGACCTTCCCCAGAGTTTCCCTCCCATTCCTGCAGCAAATGCCTGCTTTGTGCTGGTCCATCAGCACAGTTTCCTCCCTAGAGTTTAGAATTCCTGTAGAGGTTTCCCATCTGGCCCTGTGGGACACTGTGACTCCTGTGGAGCCGTGGGTGTCACCTCGGAGTCTGGAAGGTCATGGACAGTGCAATGGCACCGAGGGAGGTGGAAGTACATGGGCAGTTCCATTATGGAGTGATCATGGCTTTGTTACACTGCTTTGGGTGTGTGAACTTGTGCAAGAAGTGTCTTGACCATAAGAGTGAGTGTATTTTATTTATATTCGGTAAAATTGAAGACTTCAGGAAAAATACATTTTCTCTTATTTTGCAATTATTCTCTTACTTGGAGCTTGGAATTTCTCTCTTTCTTTTTTTCCTGTAAATTGAATTTCATTTTGGGGCTCTGTTGGTCTGTTTTAGAATTAAATTGATGTTTATTACTTTTCCGAGAAGATTTTTTTAATGAAAATACAGAACAAGAATCTCAATTACAAGCAAGTGCAGTGTTTGTTAAGCACCAGGCATTCCCTTCTTCTGTGCAGCGGCTCTTTCTGTTCCTCTTTTATTGCAGCTGAAGTTTGGAGCTGTGAAGCAGTGCCAGCTGGAGTGGCACAAGTGCTTTCTCACAGTAGCAGATGTCTCAGAGCTGAGATGACTGAAGGGCCAGATGGCCCCAGTCCCTTTCCCGTTGCTGAGCCGTCGTTCCTGATTAGTGGCTGTGCCTTGCTCCCTGTCAGGCAGGCACAGAGTGCCAATCCTGTCCATCCCTCAGCTCTCTGGTGATCTCTCCAGACACTTTCCTGCTGCCCCTCCTCAGGGAGCAGCTGCTGAGTCTGCCTGAGATGTGTCTCTGCCTCTCCCATCACTTACCACAGTCAGAATGTAGGAGAAAAGCAGGAAAACTGGAGGAAACCAATGTTGAAGTGCAAACATTCCCCTGGGGTTTGGGGTAGGGCTCTCATGTGGGGCATGAAACGATATCTGTTTATGTACCAAATTCCATTCTGCTCCCCTGGCAGGTGCCTTTGGTTAAACCAAATAACTTTTCCCACTTTGCAGTGGTTCTACACCTTGAGCTGGAGACAGCCAGGGCTGCAAAGCAAATGTCAGGGACATGGTTTCAGAAACAATTGTCCAGAGGAGGTCTGTAGCTTGGATCATAATTCTCTTTGAAAAGAGAGAGGTAAAAAATGGAGTTATAGACTGTGAAGCAAACTAGGGTGAGAATTGTTTTACATAGTGGAAATATCATATCAGAATATAGAAATACTGAAATTATTAGATCAGTGAGTTCAGGGACAAAGGAACAGAAAATCAGTGAGATGGCAGTGGGAACAGTGACAGGTCTTACCTAGTGAGGCTCATCAAAAGTAAAAGCAAAGTATTACAGATAGGGCAAGGGGATTGAGAAGTAAATGCTCTGTACTCTGGTTCATACTTGTTCTGTCCTTTTTTCCTCGGTAGTGATGCTATTGCTGAGATTAGAGCTGTCTGTATTGAAGAAATTGGAGTCTGGATGAAGATGTACAGTGATGCCTTCCTGAATGATAGTTATTTAAAATATGTTGGCTGGACACTACACGACAGGGTAAGTACTGTGTATTCCTGCCCTTGTGTTACTTATATTACTCCCCAGGCCATGCTTTGTGTATCGTCCTTGGCTTACAAAGACATTGTTCTGTTTTCTAACCTGCTCCCTTTAAACCAGGCTATCTCTAGGGATGTGCTTGCACTGGGATGCAGCACTCCCAGGCTGCCTTGGTTCCTCTGCTGTTGGTGTTCTCAGGCTCTGATGGAACATGTTGGTAGATACGTATCCACGATGCCTTTCTTCTGATTACAAGAGAAAGAGAAGCCTCCTTGGGCCACTCATGAGAACCTCTGTCTGAAGCAGGATGGAACAGAGATTTCCACATGTCTTCCATTTACATTGCCCAAAGGTTAGGGGCAAGAACATCTCTGGATCCCCAACAGACACCACTGGCTCCACAACCAGTGGAGTTCTCATCAATTCACTTTCCCTTGAAGAATCTTTTCAAGGTTCCCTTTAGCTTTTTCTTCAAAAACTTGTTGAAACGCCAGGTGGAGGCAAAAGGATTTGTATCCAGAGGGGCTTTTCTGTGTCAGCACAGCTCTCAGTGCTGGTGGCACCCACAGCACCCTGTGGGGTGGGAGCAGCTCTGAGACCCACCCAGGTCCTGCAGCAGGAGTAGCCCCTTCTGAACACTGGTGGAGCAGGGCTTTGCACTCTGGCTGGGGGGGGGTGTATACCAGGCAGAAGTGGGACTGGCTGTCCTCCTACTCCCACCAAAACCTCTAGAAACACTTGTTTTACTCTAAACTCTTTGCTAACATTATCCAAGGAAAACAAAGGAGACCTACCTGTGCTGTTGAAATGCTCATTAAATTCCAGCATCCTGATTCAGACCATTCTCTTCTTCTAGAAGCACTGATGGAAGAAATCAAAAGTTTTCGAGTTCATTCTGATGACTTACATAACTGATATCTAACAGCTGATTCTTTAAAAAGATGATTTTTCGATAACTTCAGACATCATATTAACACAGAGGATATGACTCAGTCACTTGTTTGCTGAATCACAGAATATTCTGGGTTGGAAGGGACACATAAAGATCCTCAAGTCCAGCCGAAGAAGTCTGAACAAGATCAGTTAGAAAGGCTTTCACAACTGGAAGAAGTTGGCTGCTGCTGGTTCTTGCAGCTACAGCTGACAGGGATCTGCATTCTGCCTTGATTTGGATGAGCAATTTCCTTGTTAAGAGTATCCTCTATGCTCTAGAGACTGGACATGGGATTCTTCCTCTCTAAACATGAAGTTCTCAAACTTTTTCTTTACAAACTTTCTCCAAACTTTTACATTAGATCTCATTGTAAGAAGTTGAGCAGGAGGAAGATCCTGCTCAGTGCAGTGTGGAGCAGTGTGGAGTCCAGAGACACAACCCTGTGTGTCAGGAAAGCTTGGACATGGGAACATGGCCATCCCAGGGCATGGAGGCAGAGCTGCTGCTCCAGCTGTGCCCCCTTGGTACCATTGTGTGCCTCACTGGTGCCATGCTCCAGGAGGGAAGATAAATCAGTGGGGAGGGCAGCTCAGAGGGGAGCATTAGCATTTTATGTGTGCTGGAGGGCTTCATTTTTTACTGGGACTTATAATTCAAAATAAATTCTCCCTTGAATAATTGCAGTGCAATTCTGGGAGTGCATCCTGAACCTTGCAGAACATTTCCACAAAGCAGCACTTGCAGAATGTGGTCAGGGTTGCAGTTGGCAGCTCTCAGCCCCTTGCAGTGTCTGTGAAGTCCATCCATCTCTCCCATCCCTCCTTTAACCATCTGTGAAATGCAGCCGTTCCTCACGGCGCTGTCTCTGACTGGTGTCAGCTTCCCACACCCTTATCTGTCACATCCAGAGATTTCTCATGTCATGTCCAATACTTTCTCACATCCTCTTCAGTTAGTTTAACCTCAGGCCAGGGTCTAGTCATCTGCCTGCAGCCTTGACATATGTTTATACCTCAGCTTTTTAAAAATCGACATGTTCCTTCATGTTCCTTCACCAGAGAAGTTTTAAATTATGGCGTTATGGTAAAAAAATGGCCCATCTGGACCAGGCACAGAGGAATTCTGTCAGGCTGCTCTCCTGCCTCTGCTCTGGAGTATTTGTCATTGCAGGCCTCAGAAGTGCCTTGGGGTTTTAAGTCTTTAAATCACTGGTTAATCTGTTTAATGTGAAGGTATATGTGATAGGTGATATTTTTTGTTGCTGCAGTGTATATTTGATGTATAGAGTGAGACAGACTGTGGGTACAATGGGAAGAGTCTGAGGCAGGTGAGCCACGTGTCAAAGCATGAAAAGGGAGAGAATGGAGAGAAAGAGACATTTGGGGAGGCACAGAAAGGAGGAGGAAGGTGCAATGGGAAGAATAGATTGGAAAAAGATGGAATAAGAACCAATTAAAAATGCAAACCATCCAGAAGTACAAGATCCCTTAACAGCCTGGTTTTCATTGGCACTGCCTGAAAAACTTCCCAGCTGGTAACCAAGTCCTTGATTTTGCTTGGCTTTGATCAGGAGACAATTTTTGCTATGATTGGTATTTAAAATATTGAAAAATGAAGGCGGAGGCAATAGCCATGAGGTATTGCATTTCACATGAACAGCAGTCACCCCAAAATGATCACCTTGGATCACGTTGGAGCTACAAAAAGGAGAGGAGGCAGAGGTGCAGGACATTGCTGAGCAGTTTCATGTTCTACTCCAGAAGACATACAAATGAAACCACAGAGAACACAGAAGTTTAGTTCTCTAATTTGGGAAATCCTTAGGTTTTGTATGTTAATCCTGTCTCTTTCCCAGATTTTAGACAAATGTCTATAGGGCTTTTTGGGTTTTGTAGATTCTCATCTGAATGTGGGTTTCAAGGTCTGCCTTTCTCTCTTTTTAAGCTTTTTTTCATTCCCATGTATCTGGAAGCATAAATTAAATGTTTATCAACTATAATATAATTACATTTTAAAAACCTCTTTAAAAAAAAAGTATTAAATCAGACTGTTCAGTCTTAATTTTCTTCTGCCTCATTGATGCCTGGAAGTGTTTTGAAACCATAATTGTGTCTCTAGATACCAAGACAGTCCTGGTTCTTAAACCAGTTCCTAACACATCCAAACCCACGTTTTCCTTCTTTGCATTCCTCTCCTTTGCTTATTGTCTATTCCTGTGAAAAGGCTGAACCCGGGCTCTTCTGAAGCAGATGTTCCCCTTGTGCTCAACCTCCTAATTAATTATTAAGTTCATCTCTTAGTTTACTAAGTCTCTTCCTGTCCTTCCTGTCCCTCCTCCTGGCCTGAGTTTCTTAGGAATCACCCTAACTCAGCATTCCCACCCGCGTCCTTCCTCACTAGAAGGTGTTTGGGTGTTACAAGCTCCTGGTCCTTGGATGATTCTCATAGTTACCAGCGAACTTCTCGTGTCTGGCCTGGTGCTGCTCTGTGGCACATGGCTGCTCCTCCATTCTGGGCTTAGTGTATCCACCTTCACTCCTGCCTTTCTTTGCTCCTTGTGCAGGTCATTGCTGTTTAGGCTTCCCAGGGCGTTCCTGTCCCTGATCTCCACTGACTTCGTTTTAAATCCTTCCTAACAGGATTAACAAGCTCATGTGCAGGGGCTCTTCTCGCTCCAAAGAGGTGGATTCCATCCTTGACCAGCAGTTTAAAAACCAGACCTTTAGGCTATCAGAGGGAGTCCTCCCCCTCTCATTCTCCTGCCAGGAAGGGCAGTTTTTTTGGGGGGAGTACCTCTGTGTCTGCTGGTCCCTCTCTCAGCCAGAGGGACCAGGTGTGACAAACCTTTCTCTCCTCCTCCCCTGCTCCTGCGGTGCCTCGGGCATGGGGAGTGGCAGGACAGTGCCCTGTGCCAGGACACTTCTGGCAGCCCCTGGCTGGAGTCTCCTGGCAGGGCACACAGGGACCCAAGGTCTGGGTGTGCTTCCAACCTACTGGGCTCGATTTGCTCTCTTAGGCCTTACAGAGACCCTCACTATTAGGCCTGGACTGAGCTCTGGGACTGTTGATCCATGAGGGCTTTGGGCTCCATGGGCAGCCTGAACCTTTCCTGCACGGGCCTTGGGGCTCTGCTGTGGGCACCGGGTTTTGAGTTTTGCATTTTGGGTCCCTGGCCCTCTGCTCACAGAGGTAACAGCCTTCAGGGAGCTGGGACTGAACCTGCTGCCTCAGTGCAGCTTTGGAGTGCTCATCACATGCCAGAATAACCTGCTCCTGACCCTCTGGGGCTCAGTAAGCTGAGGCCAAGAGAGGCTCCCAGTCCTGTGAGGGGATCAGCACACAGCAGAGGGGACACCATTTCTGGCACTGCAGCACAGGCACCACTGAGACAACGGCAAGCAGCACTTCTCAGTGCTTTTGTGACACTGGATCACATCCATATAGAACTTTTTTTCAAGGAAGTTATTTTCTGTACCTTGAAAGATCTTAATGCTAGATCCTTTTAAACATAACTTTCATCTCATTGACTTTCTCTGCAGTGGTAGTCAAAAAGATCCCAGGAAGAGAGCATGACTGCTCAGAGACTCCTCATGGATGTAAAGAGATGATTTCTCAGGAACAATAGTTCTCATGGAAGTTCTGAAAATCCAACTTCTGTGCTTCTTTTATCTTCTATTTCCATTTCTGAAATAGGTGTGAAGGAGAAAAGAAACTTTAAAAATTTAAAAATGAGGATTTTTTATCTTCTGTTTTTATGTCAGTCTCTGAATGTTCTTTCAGTTTTTAGCTTGAGGATTTTTAAAATACAGACCTGATTATAGAATAGACAAATTCAGAAATGAAGGCCTTTGGGTATGGAGCTTTATTTATGAAGTTCAATAATTAGTTTTAGCTCTTGAACAGCTAAAGGCCTTAGACTTGGTAGTGTCTTCACTTTCATAACAGTAAGTGCACACTGCAGTGAACTCTACAGATGAAATTTGAGGAGATTTGTGTTTATAACCTTTTTGCTATCTACAAATATTTTCCAAAAAGAATCCCTAGTTTACTTGGACTGTGCAGTTGAGTGAAGTTGTGGACCTGCAGCACAGGGGGATCCAGCCCTTCCCTTCATCAGGGGTGTTCCTGTAGGATAAAAGCCTGGATCCATAGGCCCTGTGTGGGCTCCCCATGTTTGCTGCCTGCAACACAGCAGGTCACAGCAGTCCCACCTGAGGAGCAGCTGGGCATGAGCTGCCCCTGGAGGGGCCCTCAAGCCTCTTCATCCTCCAGCCTGTGCTGTCCTGTGCTGAGAGATGGGGCTGTAGAACTTCCAGGAAACAAATCCAGGGTGCATTCCCTGGGGCCCTGCCCTGGGAAATGGTGGAGTTGCTCAGCCCATGCTCAGTCATTTTGAGCATTGATTGCAGACAGCAGGTACCTGGATCTCTTTCCTGAAGCCCCACTGCACCAAGCCCTGCAGATTGGACATCTTCAGTTTGTGTTTGCTTGCTGCTCCCTTTGTCTTTTTGTGGAGTTACTTGAAAGGGAAGCAGTAACTGGCATGTAAGTGAAGGCACATTAAATTCTTTCCATATGCAGATAGGGAGGAAGTTCTTGGATTTAGCTGAATTGCAGGTTGGCTTTGGTCATCCATTTGCATAAAATTTTAAATGTCTGTTAAACAAATTACATGATGATGTTCTTTAATATTCATGTGCATTTGATGAGTGCATTCTATCAGCTAATCTTGCTGTGTTTTGTTTAGCAAGGTGAAGTGAGGTTGAAGTGTCTGAAAGCTCTTCAGAGTCTGTACACCAACAGAGAGTTGTTTCCCAAATTGGAGCTGTTCACTAATAGATTCAAGGTAAGAGGAAATACAATTTTTGGAAGGAATACAGAAAGTAAAAGTGTCCTCATCCTGTTGTGGTCTTTGAGTCATGTCTATTAAATGCAAAAATAAACTCCTTTGTGGCAAGGCTTGTACCTGCACTAGCAAAACTGTATTACTGAGTGCTGAGATGAAGCCAAATCCATTTTACAGTTTTTATCCTGTGAGATTTGTCAGACTTGACCAGGATGACTATTTATCTGTTTGTATTATTGATAGCTTATATATTGTCATTAATCAATCTACCTGTACTTACTTAAATTTAGATTTATTGAATTTTAAGGACATGTACTTACACAACCTAAAATATATCTGAAAGTAACAGGCTATAACAAAAGATTGGTTGTTCCACAGCTTTTTAGCTCAGTATGTGGTGGTGTTTGAAGGGAGACACACTCGGGACTGCATCCCAGTCCTCCAAACAGTGAAATCCCTTTTGCTGCAGAAGTGGAGTTTCCCCTGTGCTTCCAGACAGCCCCCTGAGCGCAGCTGTCCTGTTCAGGAGAGAAGTGCTGGAGGAACAGCTCCCGGGTTTGCATTAGCACAAACTTTTTGCTTAATATCTGGCTGAGACTGTGGCTGTTAATTCCTTTTGTGGCATGTCTGCTTCATTTCCCAAGTGGAGTGTCTGGAGAGCTGAGTGTGGAAGTGCTGTCCTTGCTCCTCTGGGATGCCTGGTGAGAGGGAAGCTCTCAGGCTCTGTCACCACATCAGCTGGCACCTCTCGTGTTTCCTTGCAGTTCTGGAGAGCACAGAGCTGTGGGAAGGGCTGCCCCCCGAGGAAAGACTCATTTATTTTGCTCTAAATCATGATTATAATGCTGATGATAAATTCTGTTTAGAAAAGTAGAGATTTAAATACTCATAAATACAAGACTTAAACTTCTCCCCATGTATTTTATACTGCTTCACTGGTTTTGTCTGTCATTGCAGTGGCTACAAACTCCTCCAGTTTGATCTAGAAAGCACAAAATATAGAAAACTTTCCATCTTCCATGGATGGAAATAAAATGGATGGAAAATAATTTATAACATTATAAATTTATAAAATTTATTAAAAAATCATTTATAAAAACATAACAGTAATCAGCCTTTTACCACATTCACTTGAGATGGAGAAAAAAAGATGCTTAACCTGCAGTAAAGTCTGAAGATGAAGGAAGGCTTTTTGTCCAAAATGATAGTTATTTAACAGAGCAGACTCTTTATTAAAAATCTCCATCATTTAAGATTGTTAAGGGCAGATTAAATAAATAGGACTGAACTAGGTATAGTTGACTTTAAAGCAGGAGAGATAACTGGATCATTGTGTGAGATCAGCTGAGGACCTGCATTTTTCTGATTTTGGAAAGTCAGTTTCTGGGACTGCTGCAGTAAAGCCAAAGCTTCCTCTTACAGAAAAGTCCCTGGCAAACAGGTTCAGACCTCAGACTATGTCTCTAATGCCTCCCTAAGTCTGGCTTGCTTTATCATCTCAGGACAAGCAGAAAAATGGACCCTCCAGCTTTCCTGTTCTCTCTGTGCAGATTTAGATTTGTTTATATTTGCTCCTTCTGTAATTCCACTGATTTTGAAATAGGCCACAAAAGCTCTCGTGGTCTCTCTATCTGGTTCTCTTTATGAGACAATGTGCTGGATGTTTCTCCCTCAGCCTCCCAGAAATTGTGAGCTGCCCTGAGGCTGAACCCATCCCGTCCACCAGCAAACCTTTTCAGGAGACTGGAGGCACTGGGAGCAACAGTTACTCAGTACTGTACCCCAGAAAACTGGGGGGACATGAAAGCTCTGCATACATCCTCCTGGCTTTTCCCAGTGCAGACAGTTTTCCCAGAGGAAGCTGGGTTAGCCTGTGCACTGCTGCTGGGTTTGGGATGGCACGAGGAACTTTCGTTGCTGTCAAAAGCAGTCAGAGGGAGGGGAACCCTGTCTGGAATCCTCGCTGCCCCATTGGAGCTGGTTTTACTACAGAATTCTGTATCATTCTGAAATAAATAAGAGAAAAGGTGAGCTCCAAGTCTCTGTGAGCCTAGAGAACAGCATTGTTCAACGCAGTGATTTCTCAGTTGCAGTTCCCAGCCACATCAAGAGAACAAAAGCTGGCATGGCCCGAGAGCTGCCCTGGGATTTACAGCTATGCTGACAGGGATGTGGCCTCTGGCACCAGGAGCGAGCAAAGTCTCAAATTAATGCTTTTTGAGGCTGTGATACATCAGTTAAATGTCTTGCCATCACAAACTCTACCACCACCTCTTTGAAAAATAATTGACCTGAGTGCCATTTGCAGTTCCATGGCTGCCTATTTATATTTCCTCATCAGAATTAAATCGACCTGCACACTTCAGCTGCTGTTCAGCTCAATCCATTCAAACTGTCAAGAGAAGTCTTTCTAGAGGTCTTCTGGCTCTTTAAAGAATAAATTAATTTGATCCAGAGTGCCTTGTGGTGGGGTGTTAATATTTCACCACCTTCCAGATAGCTGTGTTGCTTGTGTTGCTTTGCCAAAGGAAAGTTGTAGGTGATATGCTGGAAAATAAGCTTTGTCCATCAACAAAAATGTTGTCCATCAAAGAGGAGACTTGTTTTCCATCAAGAAGTCCTTTCTGATACAGACATTAACTGAAGCCATCAGTGCCAAAGCCAAGACACCAGGAGATTTAGGTGCAGCCCTTGAATTCCTGTCCCTCGTCCCTGACCCTGTGCAGGACAGTGCTGTCTCCACGGCCTGAGAGGCAGAAAGAGCAAATCTGTATTTGCTCCTCAGTCTGACTTGTTCACAGCCTAATACAGAGTGGAAAACTGATCATCATAGGCACTGAAAATTAATATTTCAAGTTCTGAGTACAGGCCTGTGCCTGTTGTGCAGCTGTACATGGTACAGGGAATCTCTGCAAAGGCAGATGGAGCAGCTGGACTTGGCAACTTCCTAAAGCACAGAGGTCACACCTGCAGAGCCATTCGGTGTGCAGGTCTCTCTGGGGAGGCTCTTGGTGCCTGGCTGGTGGCACACCAAGGCAGAAAACAAGAAATGACACTTCCACACTGTTTATTTTAAGCCTGATGTTTGAGAGAATGGCCTTTTTGGATAAGAAAACATTCCATCAGTGGGTTTCAAAGTGCCCAAGGACTCAGAGGGCCCCGCCTGCTCTGCAGGCAGCAGAGAAGATCCCCTCCCTCCCAGGCTTTTTCAGGGATGTAGAAGTTTTATACCTGTGTGCTTATTCCTTTGCATGCAGGTGGTTCCCTCCCTGTGGTATCCTGGAGTGTAAGATACACTTTGAGGGCGTACATGGAATTCCACTGAAACATGTGAGATCAGTATCCCTGGCTGCTCTTTCTCTTGATGTTGTATTGGTTGCTGTTCCTTGGCCAAGACCTTAGGAAAAATTAGGCAGCAATTTTTTGTCTTGTTCACACACAGGATTTCCTGTTTGGAAAGTTGTTTCACTGAGTCTCTTTGGGGACTTCTCACGGTCTCTAAAACTGTCAGGATAAAAGTTAAATGTATCAAATTCCCCAGGAACTTACTGTAGTTAATAGAGGCCCGTTCAGTCACAGTGACAAGAAGTGTCTCTGCAGCCCTGGTGGTGTTGGGAGGTGACACTTGGGACAGTCATGGTGCATTCTTCACATACTGATCCAGAATTTCTCTGTTGAAATAAGCATCAGTTGCTTGATACTCCCCTTCAGCCTTTAAATGCCTGGAATAGAATAGAAAAGAGGTGGAAACCTTTCATTTGTCCTGATTTGTTCTGGTGATTTTCACTGTTGTTGCCCTACCCTTCCCTTGTTTCTTTTCCAGTCCCTGACTTCTATTTTTTCCCATCCCAAAATGTCATATAGTACCTGGGCCTTCCTGAAGCGAGTTAAGCCAGAGAAATCAAGTTTTATTTGGCCCAAAATTTCTTTTCATTAACTTGATCGGTCAAGCAAAGAGCATCAAGACACCCTGAATGTTCATGGCTGGACAGAAATTCTCCCCAGATAGGAAGGACAACATACACTAATCACAGCTATTTTTGTGCCAGTAAGCAAACTGAAACTAGGGAGAAAGAAACCCTTAGGAAACTTCTCATAAGGACAGGGTCCTTGAAGTTATAAAATCGTTAGATTGGGCTGCAAAGTGGCTGCTTGTCTCCACTGGGAAGAGAACAGGAAAATACAAAGTCCAACCATGGAATTTCCTGCTTCCCTGGGGAATATCTGAAGTGTAGTTCTTGAGCTCAGCTTCAAACCTTAGGATGTAGCCTGGTGTAGAGGCCACAACTTTATAGGCAGTTTGCAACGTGAGTATTCAGTTGTGATTTTCTTCACAGTATCTCCAGAAATGCAGCGTTCCTTGCTCTGAAATGGTTTGGTTTCAGGGGAATGGAGTGGGGCGTTTTTTGTGCTGTTGTCCAACCCAAGTACATTCCTTTTCAGAGAAGGCCTGTTCAGCTAACCCAGCCCAGAAGAGTGCCTGAACTCCAGTGTCCTTCCTCAGTTGCTGGGGAGCACAGCTGGCTCGGGGCAGTCTGAGCAGCTGTCCCTGCCTGTTCCCTGGGCACAGAGCACTCAGCTGTGCTCGGTGGGCATTGGATGGGCAGTGTCCAGCTGAAACACCTTTCTCCCTAGACTGTCTGTCTGTGATCTCTGGAGTTCTCCCTCTGGTAGCTGGTTGTTTGTGTTGTGTCCCTGACATGCCGTTCCCTTCCAGGACCGCATTGTGTCCATGACCCTGGACAAGGAGTACGACGTGGCTGTGGAAGCCATTCGATTAGTGACGCTCATCCTGCAGTGAGTACTGCTCCAAACCCCCCTGTTCCCCTGGGGAATCACCTGGGCCAGCAGCATTCCATTGGCTGATTGCTTTGCTTGTGTGTTGGAGGGAATTTCTTACCTTACACTTTGTGTGACGTTGAACTGCACACGTGGCAATAGGGACAGGAAGCTGAAATAAGAGATTCTGTCTCATGGAAATACAGTAGGCAAAGTATAAAAAGGTTTTGCTGTGTTGAGCTGTTGGTACCTCCGTTGTTGTGGAAGAATGCCAAGGGCATTTATGCCTTTTGCCAAGGGCAGAATGACTGTCCTCCCCAAAGCAAGTGCCTGTGGGTCCTGTTTGCTAAAGTAACTCAGTGAAGATCCAGCGTGGGGAGATTTGCTGGGTTACCTGACACAGCTGGAAAGAGAGGCACCTGGGAGAAGGTGGCTTCCAGGCCTCCAGCTTTCCCTTGCAGGGCTGCAGTGGCTTCCCTGAGGCACAGATCCAGCCCCAGAGCCCTCCCACTTGTGACTGACCCAGCCTGTCCCCCCAGGCTCGTGATGTGCTGCTGGAGGGGCACTGCCCAGATTTTGGGGTTATCCACCAAAAGCTGTGCTAAAGGAGATCTGTCTGACAAACAGATGCACAGAAGTTTTGCTTCATACTTTATCCCCAGTAGCTCTACTTTGAAGAACATTTTTGGACATGCAGAATTTGGATGAAAGATTACAGTAGCTTTTCCTCTCAATAAAGAGCTCTGAGCTTCTTTTTTTTATTTACGAGTCACTCTGCTTTACAGAGATTGGACTTGTAATAGTAGGAAAAAAGGAAGTCTGGCATTTACTGTCATATTTTTAAAGCAAATATAACAAATATGATCAGAAATGAGATGTAGAGCACTCCTATTTTCTACATTATTAGCAACATTTAGGAACACAGTAAGATTCAAGGACAAAAATTACCCAGTGCACCTTTTTTTGTCCTCTGGTTGCATGATGAAAGCCCAGCTAAATGCATTTAGCACCAGAAGGGTCTGGGTCACACTGGTGAGCACAGGGCAATGTTCTGACAGGCAGGAACTCCAAAAAGGTGTCTGGAGCAATCCTGGTGGGCAGTGACCAAGTAAACTTGTTTGTAGTGTGAGGCCAAGCTTTGTAGAGTCCTGCAAAGGAAACGTTTCTGATGAATGCTGAGTGAAGAAGGATGGAAGCAACACTCCCAATTGTGATAGTGCTTGATATTTTTATATTGTTGATGGAATATAATAGTTCACAGCATTTTTCAAGAATGCTGCTGTGAAATGGGAGTTTTTCTGAGTTTCAGAAAACTCACACAAAATCTGCCTTGAACTCGGAAGCTGCAGAAGCCCCAGCTGAGTCTTTTACCCAAGACAAAGGTAAAAGGCGGCCTGTTCTTGTCAATAAATAATTACAGAAAATAAACTGTTCATCCTCCTTCATGCAGCACAGCAGGGTATGATCACATGCAGCTGCTAGGTGTTGAAAGGGAAGTCTACCTGCAGTCAGACACTGAGCAGTGTACAAGGGAAGGCAGTTTATTGTATCAGCATTATTGGAGCTCCAACTGCCCCCCCAGTTCAGCCCTGAAGTGGCTGTGTGTTGGTTTTTGGGGATGCTCAGTGCCAGGCCTCTGTCCCCACATCGTGGTGTATGTGACCTGGTGCCCAAATCCAGAGCATTTCTGTGCCTTCTGCCAATTGCTGAGACAGTTTATCCACCTGGCCTGGCCCTTTCAGCAGCTGGAATTGGGAATATTCCTTCCTACCTCCCAGATCACCTCCTGCCCCGCAGCAGGAGCGTGCAGTGTCCCCCATGGAAAGATCTGCTCCTGGGCTTGGAGCAGACCAGGAGGCTGAAGCAGGTTCTCCCAGGCCCAGATTTCAATACCTTAACCATTCAAAGTTTTGATAGCAAGCAAACATAGCCAGAGAAGTGAATAAGTTTAAGCAAGGAATTGCATTTTCCTCGTGTGACGCTCTGGAACAGACTGCCCAGGGGAGGGGTGGAATCACCATCCCTGGAAGTGTTGGAGAGGCCCGTGGATGTGGCACCTGGGGACATGGACTAGTGGTGACCACGGTGGTGTTGGGTTAATGGTTGGACTGATGAGCTTGGAAGTCTTTCCCAACCTAAATGTTTCAGTGATTCCAGGTTTTTAGTTTACTAATGTTTGATGAGTGTTTGGCATCTTCAATATTTATGGTTAATGTGATGGTCTAAGGAATGAGCAGGGTGGGATTTGGAAGCAGTGATTCTGATTTTTTCATAGTATTATTTTATCTCTATATTGATACAACTGGGAGATGGAAATCAGACCAACTTTGAGTCCTGCAGGCCCTTTAAATACCTCTGTGGTTGGCAATTGAACCAGAGATCCTTGAGGTCTGTGTTCAGCCATTTTTGTAGGAAGGAAATCAGTCTGTCCAGAGTGAGCTGTGGGGGGTGAGGGGTTGGGAATGAAAGGTCTGCAGTGGTTCAGGTGTTACTTTCTGGCTCTTTCAGTGGGAGTGAGGAGGCTCTGTCCAACGAGGACTGTGAGAATGTGTATCACCTGGTGTACTCAGCACACCGGCCCGTGGCAGTGGCAGCTGGAGAGTTCCTGCACAAAAAGTAAGTTCCAGTTGCCCTGGAATAAGACCAGATCTGTGAATGCTTTCTAGACAGGTAAGATCAAAAGGCAAAGAAGCAATAGAGTGAAATATCCCTTAGGAAATCAGGTATTTAATTTAAACCAGAGATTTACTCTCTTGTCTAAAGTCAAGACCTAAAGACTTGAAGAAATTGAATTTACATTTTTCTTGCTCTAGAATTCAGGTAGCTTTTCCTAACTCCTCCAAGGGTTAAATATACAAAGGCTGTATAAACTTCTAAGGTTTAAATCTTGCAGCACTCTCTGAATTACTGTTGTATGATGTGTATATGTAGGGCCTACATATCTGTTATGGCCTGCCTGATAGACAGTCATCATTTCTACCAAGCTTTAAATCACTTTATTTCAACACAGTGAACTTGAGAGAATTTGATGCAGTAAATAATTACTAAGTTTGTTTCTGAACTCGCTGACTTCCCCTGCGTTTCACCGTGGTTCCATTCCCAAAGGAAATGAGCTCCCTTTTCCCTGGATGTGAGTCACAGCACATCAGGAACTGTGACCAGGACAGTGCCATAGCAGAGGAGTAACCTCTTCCTTTTCGGGTTTGCAGTTTAAAATATTTTAGCAGGAATTTTATTCTTTCCCCTCATGGTTGTGATATTTAGAGTTTTTTAATATGTGTATAGAGAACCCAGGTTATCTGATCTTTCAAGCCAAGATACGAATAGAAAAAAAATACATAAAAACACCCATTTTCCTTTGCCAGTGTTCTAATTTTCTATGAATTTAGAAGTCCACATTGTATTTGTAAGCTTTCAGTGGTGGAATTCCAGCTTCATGATCAAGTATTACCTGTTTCAAGGAATGAGTTTACAAAATTCTGTTACATTTAGTTTCCTACATGACATTTCACATGTTATGGGAAAGTGTGGGGTTCTTTTTAAAAACATCCAGTGAAATTACTTTGTTAATCAACATGTGACAAAATAATTTTGAAAAATGCCTTGAAGATGTAAATGAGGACATGTTTGCACCTTAATGCACTCAGGGTAAAGACAAGACTTTATCCTGACTTTTCTTTACAGGATACTGTGCTGTGTTCTGTGGATGTCTCTCAAGGTAAAAGGCAGAGATAAGATTGCCCCATTCTTAACAACTCATTTTCTTTGGTTTCTGCGAAGAAAATCCCCAGTTAAATAAGTTAGAATCTCTTTGAGGCGTTTGAGGTGTGATGTGTCTCACCTGATTTTATACATTTCACTCTCATTGTCTCCGTGTAAGCTGTTGTTAGACCTGCTGTCTGTCCTTAGCAAAGAGAGCAAATAACACAGAGCTCTCTGACTCCCTGAGGTTTTGCAGCACCTGCAGAGGGCTCATTTCTGGTCTGGTGAGGTAAGCAGGGGGACAAGGTGATGTCTTTACCTAAAATGCAACATTTGAGTGCAACTTGTCCTCTCTTCAGGGAATTATAGCAGTGAAATCAGAATACTGTTTCATGTTCCAATTTGCTTTGTGATTGTGGTTTCCTTGGAAAAGCCAGGAACAGTTTTCAAACTCCTCCAAGTGAACCCCTCATTGCAGTAACTGTCACGTGGGCCCAGCTGAGAGCTCCTTCAGCTGTGAAGTTTGAGCATTGGGAGGGGTTTGAGGTTACCATCAGGGGCTCAGTGCAGAGTGGGTCATTTACCTGTAAAAGCCCCAAGTCATGTTTTATCCTTTGTGCTGCCACTGGTGCCTGAGGTTGGCTGTTCCTGGGGTGTCAGGTTTGATTCCACCCTGTCCCAGTCAGGGTGAGCACTGCTGGAGGAAGTGCTACCACCACTGTAGGGCTTGAGAAGTTACCAATGCAAAACTAGACTGATGAGGCAAATATTTAAAACTCTGCAAAACCCTTCAATATAAGTATGTTTTGGAGAGCTTTTTCCTGGGTGAAATTCTTTCAGCCCTGTGAACGGGAGGACTCTGAAGATGAATCCATCTCTTCAGGCAGAGGTCGTGCTCTCTTTCCCCTGAAAGAGGTAGCAGAGATACTTTCCCTGTGCCTTATGAACAGTTCTGGTGTGTCAAGAAAGAATGCTCATCGTTATTGCAGAAATGAGATTTGTTGTGGTAACCATGAGAGCTCCTTTTGCTTATTTTCAGGCTGTTCAGCAGACACGATCCCCAAGCTGAAGAGGCTCTAGCAAAGAGGAGGGGGAGAAATAGTCCAAATGGAAACCTTATTAGAATGTTGGTTCTTTTCTTTCTTGAAAGTGAGGTAAAAAATTCATTTTAACCTTTACATGGTTAATAAAACTTGGAACTTAAGAAGTGATTTGACATCATACAGTAATAAATTGTCTGTCTTTTCCTTTTTTTTCATATTTTCAGAAATACTGTAAGCCCTTTGCCCTGCCCCAAATTTCCTTGTCCGTGAAGCAAATTCAGCTGCAAATCTTGGTCGTGGTTTATTTAGCTCGTGCATGTCCCCACTGTCCTCACACTGCCCTGCTGGTGGGGAAGGGCTGCCAGGGCTCTTGATTGCATACAAATGGAAAGGTTGTTGTTTTTTTTTTAGCATAACCATGCAAGGATAACACCCCTGGAGTTACTCCTTGTGGAGTAAAACAATTTGAACCAGGAAGGAACAAAAATTGCGAAATATCTCAAATTAAGATTAACTCAGTGGGAAGGACCTGAGAGGCCTTCAAGCAGAGTCAGCTGGAGATTAGAGGAGGCCCTCCAGGGCTTTGTGCATCTTGAGAATGTTGGAGGGTGGAAATGCAAACAAGTGTGGTGACATGAGGTGTTGGATGAACACACCCAGGGGGAATTGGGCCCATAGTTTGTGTCTGTAGACACAACACATATGGGAAGTTTTATGGGAGACCTACTAATAGTAATTTTGGGAAATGGCAAGGGAGTGGAGGAAAACTTGGGAAGATAAACTGTCAGGTACAGGATGTTCTGAAGATAGAGGGGGAAAGGCTTAAAAATTACACATTTGGTTTGGTAATAAGTAGACTGAAAGAAAGGAATACAAAACAAATCCATTACAGCTCTCAGTCTCCTGTCTCACCATCTTGCCTCTTTCTAATGCAGTGAGAAAGTGAAGAAAGGTAAATTTACAGCTTCTGGGCTGTAAAGAAAGCAGCTTTATTGAAAAGAAGCTCAGTTTAGATTTATTCCATTTTTTCTGTTAGAACATAACCCCACTGCACTTGTATCATTCAGCTGGAAGAAAACCTTCCCAAGTTAGTTTCCAGCTGAATTTTCTTTCCAGCTATCATAACATACATGCCCAGACACTCTGCATGCCCAAGTGACTGGGGAAGTTGTAGAACTTGCTTGTACCAGCTGCTGTACTGATGGTTGCCTTGGGTTTTCTAGTTGCATGAACATGCAGCCTATTTGGTGGACAGCTTGTGGGAGAGCTCCCAAGAACTGCTGAAAGACTGGGAATGTATGACAGAACTGCTCCTGGAGGAGCCAGTCCAAGGAGAAGAAGGTATTGCTTTAACCTCTCTGCCTTATTGCTATTGCACAGTATTGTTAATTATTCCTTAAATACCACTGTCACCCACAGTGAAATATCTTTGTGTGTTGTGGTTAGTTTAGAAAGCATATTTGAAGAAGATTTTAGTTTAATCCATTTTTAATGCACGTTGCTTTAAAAGCAGCAATTTGTACTTTATTTGTACTCTGTTTTTCTTCTCATGAAATCTGCTCTGCTGTGGTTCCCTAAAATTAAAGGCTAGGACTTCATTCTGTCAGAATGTTTGAATAACTAGTGCATACATGAACGTTTCAATAAATTGAATAGGTAATGCAATTTTGAATAAACAAGCACTTCAGGTGGTGCTAGTTAAATCTGGGGCTTTCCAGGCAGTGTGAAAACCCAGTGAATTCTCCAGAGGAAAAAAACTAAGGGGATTCTTTCACCATTAGTTTCAAATTCCTTTTGCTAATAATCTGTGTGTGCAAGGTGGCCAGGGAGGTTGGAGGCAAAGAGTCCCCAAAGGCAATGGGTGTCATCCAAGATCCTTTATAATTCTCTGTGATTCTCCTGCTTTGGGCCCTTTGCAGGGGGTTGGGTGGCTGAAAAATTCAGGTACTCTCCCAGCTTCCTCAGCAGGAAGTGAAGTGCTCATCACCTCAGTGCTTCAAAGTGTGGCCTTTTGGTATCCACCTGCTACAGTGGGGCCATTTAACAGGGGAATTTCCTTAGGAAATCAGGCACTTTGGTTCTTTGTGTCTGCTTAGCCCAGTAGGGTCTGATCCTCCAGAATTGCCTGCCAAAGGACAGAAAATGTGTAAGGCAGTGACAGTGACTGGGGTGTCACTGACCGTCCTCCAGGATCTTTATCATATTGCCCTTCATTCATCCTTTTTCCCGGACTACATTTCTCTGGACTTCTCTCAGTTCAGCCATGTGCTGAGATGGTCCCCGGTGTTCCCTGTCCCTGTGCTCCCCCCCCGCACCCCGAGCCGTCCCTGAGCTGTCCCGTTTCCCCCTCAGCCATGTCGGACCGGCAGGAGAGCGCCCTCATCGAGCTCATGGTGTGCACCATCCGCCAGGCCGCCGAGGCACATCCCCCCGTGGGCAGGGGCACGGGCAAGAGGGTGAGTGGGGCCCAGGGGCACGGGCAGGAGGGTGAGTGGGGCCCAGGGGCACGGGCAAGAGGGTGAGTGGGGCCCAGGGACACCTCAGGCCTCTTGGGGGCCCTTTATCTGCAACGCCATGTTCTGACGCGTCTGGATTAGACTTTCATAATGCTCTTTAAACTGCTTCATGGCAACCCTTCTGAAGGAAAATAGTAGAAATTGGTGTTTCTGGATGTGTTTGGGCTTTTCTTTGTTTCTTTGTTCGATTCTGAGGTTTGTGTTGCCAAGTTGAGCAATATAAATTTCCAGCCTGACAGTCTATTTTAATGATTTTTTTTTTAGATGTTCTTTTTATCAGGCCCCTGGCTTACACTTGTAATGTACCCACATGTACAGCCCTTAATGTTAAATCTGGATTAGAGTGGAAAGTGGAGAGCTTGGCAGCAAACAAGATTACCTCTGCCTGTCTTCCATGAAATGAAATGTGCTGCTAATATGGACATTAAATTTGCAGAAAAGCCAACAGTATCTTCACCATGAGAGTATTTAAGCACTGGAACAGGTGCTGGGAGTTGGTGCCCCTTCCATCTTTGGCAGTTTTCAAGGTCTGACTGGACAGCCCCTGAGCATCCCAGTCTGCCCCTGAGTGGGCTCTGCTTTGAGCTGGAGGGTGGGACTGGGGCCAGTCCAAACGCACCTGTGGGTTTGGGTTTCCATCCCTACCTGCCCCTTCCATTTATCTTCTAGTGACTGAGGATCAGGAGTCCTAAGGCTGGACAGGCACTTTTAAACCTTTCAGTATAATTCACAAGGTCAGGGTGATACCAGGCTCTCAGCTGTATTCTCCAGACTTAGCAGCCTCCATGTCCAAAGGACACCCAGCTTCCCAAACGTATCCCCCTGATTTTTTGTAGTCCTCATCTTATTTAGGATAAACTAAAATGGAATAAACATGTGTGAACACATGGTATTTCTGTTAGCTTCTGTTCTAAAGAATCATGACCAGTTCATTAAAGAAAGTCACAGATTTAATAAAGGTGAAATCTGGGGACAGAGTTCTTTATTGTTAAACTAAATGCAGTTACTTAACTTGTTCATTTTTATATGCCAGAAGCAGAGTAGCCTCATGTCCAGTAACAACATCTCAGGAAAGGCTCCAAGAAACCATCAATTTAAACATGGTTTATGTACCTTAATTTAAAAAGCATGTTCTGAAAAATTTTTAATTTATTAAAACATTTCAGTGTGTGTGTGGGAATCTATAAAAGCACTTAGTCAAATTTACACAAATTTAATCCTGTGTTACCAGAACTGTATTGTAAGCACAGCTTTTTTTGTCTCAAGATGCAAACCCTTCTAGCAGAAGTGACCTTTAAATTTAACAAAAATTTCATGTTTGTATTTTCTGTTGGGAGCACCAAATAATGCCACTGTTAACTTTCTCAAGAGATCTACAGTTCAGTTCACTTGAGTTCAGCACATTGCTTAATCTTAGATTTTCGATGTCTGTATTTCTTCAGAGCTAAATAAAACACATCAGTAAAATTAATTTCAGCTTCTGAAGGCTGATCTGAAGAGCCCCAAGGTCACCCTGGGGACCCAGGTTAATCCTGGCCCCAGGGCACAGCAGTGTTTGATCCCCAGGGCACGGCTGGGCTGTCAGGGGGTGGCTGGTGCTGCACTGCTGTGCCCAGGGCTGAGGCTGCTCCGTGTCCACCCTGGGCCATGTGCTCTTCCCCTGCTTACAAAGCCATTCCCCCTCCCCTCCATGGTTGGTTTGGATTGCTGCTGACACAGTACCCGTCACCCCAGCAGGTGTTTTGTTTCCAGCTGTTCTCCTCACTGTCAGAGAGGTGTAGGTATGACACGGAGCTTTTACTTCTTTCCAGTTAGACATGAGTGGTGGGATGGTAACTGCAGGCATCTCTGGCTTGTCACTGGAGGTTTGTCCTGTCTCCTCATCTCACCAGCTTATTCTGACTTGTGATGGAAGCAGATTTCTAATTAAGCACTCACCTTGTGGAATAGTTTCTCCTCTGACTTCAGCTTGTAACCCTTCCTGTGCAATCTGGCCCCTTTGTGTATGGGAATCATTAGCTGACTCGAGCATTTTATTCCCATGATTTGTTTTCAGAAGTGTTCTTTCCTTTCTGAAGCCAGCTCTAAGCTTTCCTGAGGCATGTTTGGGTGCTTGTCTTGTTCCCTGTTCCCAGGTGGTTTTGCTGTGACAGCATTAGTGCTGTATATCTGTCCCTGGCATTGGTGACGAGTTCTGGGAACTTGGATGTACCTTCTCACTGAGAATTACATTCCAGTTAAGAGATGAGGCCACGAATCTGCTCATGAAAATCACTGTCACAGTGTGCTTTGGGTTTGGTTTTTTTAATTATACATCAGTTCACCCTGAGGTCTTACATTAACACTTGGTTTAGTGTGTGAAAGCCAGAGCTTGGAAGCAATAGCAAAACTTCCACCGACTTGGGGTTTATTTGAATCCTCAAAAGATGTCAGTGTGTTGAAACAATATCATGCTGGGTGATATTATCCTTTATGACATTATCTTATGATATTATCCTTTATTATGATATTATCCTTTTCAGTCACGGCTTTTAGGATGCGTGGTCCTCCCATTTAATCACTCTTCAGCCCAAATGTGTTATTTGTTATGAGTTATTTGTTCCTTCCTCTTTTGATTTATTAAAAATACACTTGCATGGATTTTTGTCTGTAATGCAACGTTTAGAAAAATTAAGGAATGTTATAGGCAAAAATCGAACTTACTGTAGTTATTTTTGATCACTTGCAGGTCTTGACAGCAAAAGAAAGAAAAACTCAGATAGATGACAGAAATAAATTGACTGAGCATTTCATTATTGCACTTCCCATGTTGCTATCCAAGGTACAGTTTTCCACAAAGTAACTCTCCCGGGGATTTACAGCTGTCTTGAAGCTTTCTCAGTTGAGTGCAGGAGTTTGATTTCACTTCCCTGGTTTTGTGTTGTTTCCATGTGTTCCAGTACTCTGCTGATGCTGAGAAGGTGGCAAATCTCCTGCAAATCCCTCAGTACTTTGATCTGGAAATCTACAGCACGGGCAGAATGGAAAAGGTACAGCACCCTGGGGGCTCTCAGGTCTGGCATCCCCATTCCAGGCACCCCCTTCCTGGCACAGGAACAATCCATCCCCCATTGGTGTGCTCTGGGAATGGCTTTTGCTCTGAGTTCTGCTGCTCAGGCAAGGGGAAAGCTGAACTTCTTTTCTGATCTGCAGCATCTGGATGCCTTACTGAAACAGATTAAGTTTGTTGTGGAAAAGCATGTGGAATCAGATGTTCTGGAAGCCTGCAGCAAAACCTACAGCATCCTCTGCAGTGAGGAATACACCATCCAGAACAGGGTGGACATAGCCCACAGCCAGCTCATCGACGAGTTCGTGGACAGATTCAACCATTCCGTGGAGGATCTGCTGCAGGAGGTTTGTTCTCTTCACAATCATTTCGTTAATTACTTAAAACATGCCAGAATAAACTGCAGAAGAACGTTCTGACCAAGCCATGAATTTGTCCATCTGAAGATGCAGAGCAGCAGCAGCTATTTCGAAATTATTTGGAGCTGTTTCTCCATGTAGAAAATCCCTTACACTGGCCATTAAGCCTACAAATCATTGATGCTGTAAAAGAAAGACTACAGGACAATCCTGCCTCTGAAAATGTAGTCTAGTATTTAAACAGCCCAGATAAGTAGGTGAAAGATGATGAAAAATGCAAAGGAAATTGCATTTACATTAATGCTTGTGGTGATTCCAGTAGTCCCAAATAGATATGCAGGCAACAAGATCAAGATTGGATTATGTTTTGAATGGAAGAGAGGATTTAGTAAAATATTTATAATGACATATTAAAAGAACCCTGGCAAGAACGAAATAAAGATACAGGTCTGAAACCTGGAAGTACCTGGGATTTAGTTGTAAGAATTTATGCTTCAAAAGGCATAAGACAGAATACATTAAATAAGAATAGAAACCTTACTCGGTTTTTCCTCTTTTACATCAATTTAAATTTGTGTAGCATTACTTAATTTGTTATAATTTTCATGCTCTTTAAACATAACATGAGGGCTGCATAGATCTTGTTCTTCCCTTCCAGTCATGCACTGCCCTGTGGTGGGTGCATTTAACTTTTGATGCACATTGAGAGAAGGTTAAGCTGCAGTCTGTGTTTTAGAGTGGCATATAAAAGGAAATACACCTTTTTTTCTCATTTTTATGTAACATGCCACATACAGACACACTGTATCTGTGCCTTGTCACCTGCAGAGCAAACACAACGTGTGTGTTGCTGCAGGCCTGAAAAGGCAGTGCCTGCAGGAGGCAGGGCCTCAAAGCCCAGGGGAGCTGGGGCACCACTGTGCTTTCTTTCCCAAAATCCACTGGCTTTGCTGTCCACCTGGCTGCCATTTCAGTACTTCCTCATAAACTTCAGAGCAGAACCTGGGGAGACACTGCAGGATTTGTGCTCCATCTCTGCCTGTCTGTGTGTCAGGGGAACCCTTTCAGCTGATGCCACATTCCATGTCTTGGCACCTGTTTTCACAGCCCTGGGTTTATGGAGTTCCTCACCTCTGGCCAGCCAAACCAAAAACTGCAAGACAGACCTTGGGGAAACTGTTGCTGACTTGGGTGGCAAAAAGAGCTAAAGCTGGACTGGCAGCACAAAGATCCAGCCCAGAACCAGCCCAGTTCTCCACACCAGGCCACCATAAATAGTGGTTGGTCTTGTAGAGTCCCCTCCCTTTGTGCCCGTGCTTCAGAGATCCCTCTGGCCTCACCTCTTAATGAGGGGAGTCACAGCAGGGCAGTGAGAACCTGGGATTCAGAAGTGACTTCCCAACAGCTTCTCAGGAGAAATGGGCTTGGAGAGAAAAACACTTTTCCTGCAATTTTCCTTGATTTCCTCTTCTCTTTATAACTGCTGTAGAATCAGGAAGCAGATATGTGCTTATTCCCACTTCATTTCCCTTCACTTCTCCTTGCCAGCAGCTCCCCTTTGTGCAGTATCCCAGTGTCAAAAGCCCTGAAGGATGCACTGGGAGTGCTGGGCAGGGAGCAAGGACTGGGCTCATGGAGGGACATGGCCCAGTGACACCAAACTCCTCCGGGGTGTCCCCTTCCTGTACTCCAGGAGGAGCAGAGAAATGCAAGTGAGGGCTTAGGATCTTTGTGGACATTCACTTCCACGAGAGAGGGGGGAGGACTGAGGCTGTCAGAGAAAAGCTGTGTCTCAAAGTCATGTGAGAAATTAAGTAAGAGTTTTAGATCTCTAAGGAAAAGCGAGTGCGTAGGTCAGATGAGGGACATAAAGATGTGGAGACAGAGCCAGGACACAAGTAGGGGAAGGCAAAAAAGAGGATTTAAAATTATGGCCTTACTGGTATTCTTTGTTGAGTGATACCAGTTTGAATAATTAGTTTTAATAAGTCTATTTCATAATCTAAAGACATTTTAAATGAAAAAAATTTGCATGTGGGTACCCAAGCAAGTATCCCACTGCTTTATGGCTTCCCACTGAGCTGATAATGAGTGAAACGTTGACTGGCAATTGCATCTGAAGGCAGGAAGATATCTTAACTTTAGGCTTTTAGATGGAAAAAAAATTAACAAAATGAAATGGAGAAGAATTGTTTTAAGTGGCTTTCCAGTTTCAGAAAGTTGCTGGGAAAATTTGGGTTTGGAAGTATCTTATTTCCACTTGTTTCGCTAAGGGAATTCGCTGTTCAGTTTGCATAAAGTATGAGGATAATGATATCATGGCACGTTAAAGCTGACCAGCCCTTCTTGTAGAATAAGGTAGAACTCAGATTTTATCTTGGGAATGATTTCCACTGCCACGGGGTACTGGTTTGGATATTAACACAGTGATGATGCTTAATATTGTCAGGTGATCTTGCTTATTTTTTAGTGCTGTGTAGTGGTTACATAAATGTTATGGGATCTAGATGCAAGTCATTGGAACACTTGGAGTCAGTTGTAGTATCAGCATAAACCCTCAGAGGAACTGCTCCTCCCTGCAGTGATGGACTCTCTCCATGGATTTCCTTTTCTTTACAGGGAGAGGAGGCTGATGATGATGACATTTACAACGTGCTCTCCACTCTGAAGAGGTTGACCTCTTTTCACAAGTAGGTGGTTTTTTCCCCCTCTGTTAATTTTCTCCTTTCAGCAAGTATCAGGAATGTCAGGTGTTGGGAAATGAGAAAATATATGGCCTGAAAGATGAAGTGCAGGATGATTGGTGGTATTTGTCAGTGTAACTGTTTGGATTAAGCTGGGTCCTTGCTTGGTTAATGCCATTGCTTTTGCAGATTTGATTTGCAGGTGGCATATCCTCCCTTGCACTAAATGCTTTTGCACTCTGAGTATCTGACTAAAGAAAGTCCTGCTCCCCTGGGTGACAGACAGTGCACGAGGGACACTGGCACCAAACCTGTGCTTTGAGCCTCAGCTTAGGAGAGCCCTGCTGGAGGTGTTTCTCAGTGCCTTTGAGGTACTTCTCCTCAAAATTATAGAATTAATTAGTAGTAGTAATAATAATAATAATTAATGGTTTATGGTGAGAGCCTGGAAGATGCATTTTTTTCCTGCAGTTGAATTGTTGGCCAAGTTTAACTGTGTGGATTGCACAGAAACTCCTCCCCTGAGCACAAACCAGCTCTGCAGGCTCCTGCTGCTCTCAGAGCCCTCGGCACCCTCACAACCTGGAGAATTCCACTTGAACTGTGAATTTTGGAGCACAAAGACCTGATCTTCCCCTCTGTCAGCTGTAGGAAGACTTTGCTCCTGGGCAGCACAGAAAAAACTCCATGTGCAGGTGGCTCAGAGCCACAAATCATTTCTTCCTTGTCACAAGGTGTGAGAGGACCTTCCTTCACTGCCTCTTCTATACAGCTTATTTTGAGTGATTTCATTTCTCTTTCTGTGCTTAGTCTTCACTTATCCTGAATCCTGCATGGGTTTACTGTATGAAGTGATTCTGAAACCATTTCTACTCTTTGTTTCCATTCAACAGGAATCCCACAAAGATCATTAAATCGTTACTAATTTCCATAGTGCAGCAGGCTGACACATGTGCAAATGAGGCTTTCAGTCTCCCTGGTAACACTGGAGCCACTTCTGCCTTCCTGAGAGGACTGGTGAAAGCTCCAGTTCACATTCAGGAGAGAAGCACAAATCTCAAGGCTTTTCTGAGAGTCTTCCATATATTTTTTTTCCCCTCAGGGTTCCAAACCTGTAGGGAGTTAATTCAGCCCATAAAAACAGTCTTGTTGAATAAAACACAAATCAGGGTAGGGGACATCTACTTCCACCTTCACAAAACAGGGAAGAGCAAAGAATCACAGCTGAAAAACAGTTAATGTGTCATTCCTCAGATGATTTGTGATTTATGATTACAGCTCAGTGAGAATTTCTAATTAATATCTGCTTGCATTTAAAGAAGTGATGAAATCTTTTCATTACTGTGCTGAATGTTGTGTGAGATGCGATTTCTTTGTGCAAGAAAACAATTACACCATCCAAGACAGAGTTTTTGCTGCTCCCTGAGCTCTGAGATTGGGATGTTCAGTGCAAAACTCCCACAGAGCGTTCTCTCAAAGGCTGGGACTGGCATTGTCTGTCAGCAACTGGGAGCCAAAAGAAATTAAATCAGTGGAAAGGTGAAATCACAGGCTAACAACTGATACCTTTGAGATCTTCTACTACTGATAAAGTAGTTGCTGGGGCTTGGAAAGGAAACAAGTCCCTGTCTCCTTCCAGTGAGAGAAACTCCACTGGGCCTTATCTGTGCTTCTGTTTCCTTGGTCGCTGCTGCTGCTTCACACTTTAGGAAAAAGAAGACCAGCAAGGTGGAAAATACATGGTAAGGGATTATGAGAAAAACCTTCCAGACCAAAAGCTCCTGTACTGAGATTTCTCAAGCCTGAGCTAATCCTCTTTCTGAGAGGGTCATGTCAACAAAGGGCTCCCAGCACACTTTTTAATTCATGTCTTTCTATCAAACAAGGATATTGGTATTCCATTACAAATGAAATTCATCATTTAAACGTTTCCTTCCACAGTTTTAGAATACAATAATAAATTTTCTTGAGATCTTCTGAATAGAACCCCTTGAGTATCCACTTGGGGTTTTTTTGCCAAAATCTTGTAGCATTTTTTTCTGTCCTTAAGTACATGGAGACAATTTTTCTGTACTGACTCCGACCTAATTCAACTGTAAGAGCTCTCCAGATGAAAGCACTATGTGTATAAGTGTGATCAGCCAGGGCACTTCCCAGACAGGTGAATCCATGGTCAGATCAGCACATCCTCTCTTCCTCATTTAGAAACCAGTTGCTTAGTCTTTTTTGCAGTAGTTGGCCAGTGCATCCTTCAGACTGAGTTACTCAGCAGTTTGCTATATCCAGAAAAAGTAGAAATGGTGAGAAATGAAACCTCCCCACAGGAATTAGACTATGTCCAGCACAGCTGTTCAAAGCCCAAGGTGCAGCTTCTCTCACTTTGGGCCTCTTTATAAAGGGAAGCAGTTTTGTGGGTGCAGAGATCATCTCTTCAAAAAGAAACTTTTCTAAGCTGCTTCTTGCCATGCTTTGAGGAACACTGTGGAAGTGGTGCCTTTCCTTCAGCTGCCAGCTGTCTGGCAGGATGTGCCCCAGCAGACAGGGCTGGCCAGAGGGATGAAAAAACTTAAATGAAATGCTGGACCTTGTTTTCTCTGGTCCATGAAGACCCTCTGACACGGAAGGGACTAAGGGAAAATTCTGTGGTGTGTGAATTTTCGTTCTGGGAGCCTGTGTGTCAGTCTGAAGCTCTGTGGGAATCGTGTGGTGTCCAGGGTACCTTTATAACTGTTGTTTTGATTGCCATGAAGCTCAGAAGAGACAAAGGGGTGCCAGAATAGGCCTAAATGTAATCTGAAGGCTCTTCCCAAAGGAAGTTTATATTGAAAAGCCCTGTGCAGCTTGCATGCAGTGAGACTTTTGGAGCTCTGGAAGCTGCAGAGCTCATCCTGGGATGAGCTGTGGGGCCCTGGCCCCTCTGAGCCCAGAGCTGAGGTGTCCAAGGGCTGGGGCAGTGGGACAGGGCCCTGTGCCAGCTGCCTGACAGGGGCTCTGACAGGAAAGGGCAGGGATGAGGCAGCTCTTCCTTCCATATTCTCTGTGGGATAATCTGTGCTGGTATCTGCCTCTGCACACCAAGGAGACCCTCCTGCTTTAATTACAGTGCTGTAATTAAGGAGGGACCACTCTGCCCTGCTGCAGCTCTGTGATTTGCTGAAGCAGCATCTATGTGCTTAATGTCACTGGGGCACTACTCTGACACCTGTAATTTTATCTATGAAACATTTTATTTTAGTGCTTCACAGACCATCTAAGTCTGGGAAGCATTTTGACATTTTTTATGTTTTCATTTCCATTATTTTTAAAAGTTTTCCTGTTGTTCTATTCATGGATTTGAATTGGAAGTCAAGATGCACCTTGGCTTAGTGACACAGCCCTGGAGTGCAAATTGCACTTGCTCTCAGCACGAGGGCATTCATTGTTGTGTTTGCTGTGAAACTTTTATCTGAGACATTTCCCAGGGCTGACACGCTCCAGAGTGGGAAGCATTTCATGCCTGGGGCTTCAACAGGATCTGAGCATTCCCAGCCCCGAGTTCACCCTCGGTCCCTTTCAGAACCAGGGAGTTATTCTTTCTGGCAGAGCAGGGCAGTTAATTATTCAAACCCAGCCAGGCAGCTCCAGAGCAGGGCAGACACCAAGGGTGGGCAAAGGGAGCATATCCTGGAGATGGAGGGTCTGGGTGGAAGGGAGCCAGAGCCAAGAGGCTTCTTAATTTAACTTAGACTTGCCAGGTCAGTCTCAGTATCCCTTCTTCCAGGTGAGTATTTTAATCAACAAGTTTCTGATTTTTCTGAGATGGTTTGCTCTTTTATAGACATATTATAAACTTCCAAATTATCTCAGTTTAATTCCACTGCAGAAAAATGTGTTAAACCTGAAATTTCTTGTGAGAGTATTTTTGTCTTTCAGGCAACCTGATGTTTTGCAATTTCTTCTGTATTTCTCATTTATGTACTAAAAAGCTGCTTCATGAGCTGTTGAGGTCTGTGAGGCTGTAGAGTGTTTGTTCCTAATATCATTTGTGTTCCTCTCACTGGTGGATCAGGTTGGTGCCACTGAAATGTGAAACAATGAATGGGGGTGGCAGCACCTTTTCTGTCTCATGTACATCTTGTAAATCGTGCTCACTTCACATAGTTCAGGATATTTAAGATCTAGTGATAATGTAGGTTATTTTTTTCCAAAGGAGACAGCAGCAAAATATATGTTTATTTTGCTTGAAGATGTTGCCACAGTTTGGCCATAGTTTCTGCTGCAATATCAGAGAAGAGTTTCCTGGAGTTCTGTCAGTGCTTAGAACCAGAGAGGGAAGATGATTTAGAGGCTACCCTGAGGAGGAGCTTGTCGCTGCACTTAGCTGTGTGGAATGTAGAGAGTTTATCTCCTCCCTACAGAAATCCCATGAAGTAAAACGCTTTTCTGGATTATCAGAAAGCTGAATTTCTGCTCTTAGCCTGGTGTGAGCTGCCTGCTCAGCAGGCTGGGTCGTGTGAGCTGTGCAAAGCCCAGAGCTCTCTGGGCTGCTCCTCCTGGCTGGGAGGATCTCAGCTCATGTGGGTGTCTCCTCTCGTTGCAGTGCTCATGATCTCACCAAGTGGGACCTGTTCAGTAACTGCTACAGATTGCTGAGAACTGGAATTGAACACGGAGCGATGCCAGAACAGGTACAGCAGAACACCTGCCCTGCACAGCTGGCTTTCAGTTCAAGGCTTTAAAGGGTTTGGCTGTACAGAAATTCAGAAGATTAATGCACTGCACTTTGGTTATTTAGGGAAACCAGGGAGTTTTGGATGAACTTTATTTTGTAGGCAGGCACTGACTACAGGAGGTGGAAATTCTTGGATCGTTGAGCTACTTCCCTCACCTTTCTCATCTGTAAAGTAGGGAACAATTAATGTTCCTGGCTGGGAAAAGCAATGCACAAATCATGATGTTTACACTGTAAACCTTGGCTGCAATTGGAATTACCACACATGATTGTTGTGCATTGGAGGTAAGATGGAAGCTTATGAACACCAGGAAAGAACATCATCCTAGTGAGGTTCTTCTAGTGAACAGATCTGGGACTTTGTTTCTTCTTAGTTCAGTTTTAGTTTCACATGGAAAAGCACAGAAACCATCTCACGTTCTCCCAGGATTCCAGTTTAAGCTGCAGGATTCCTACTCCAACATTTAAGCACATTTTAAGTTCTAATTTGTTTTCTATTAGAAGACAGTTGTTAACTCTACCTCAGCTTCATTTAGAAAAAAAAAATCTCAATTCTCACAAAATTCTGTGTAAGTATTTTGCAAAAGGACCCTGCTGAGGAGGCATTACCACGTGGCATGTGGGAGTTATGGCTCTGAGCTTAGGAAGAAAGTCCTGAAATCTGAACTCTCCTTAGTGTTTCTTCCTGAGACCACTCTAAGGAGTTTGAAAATTTTAGCACCTAATGGAGAGTTGAAATGTTAACAAGATACCATGGATGCTTTAGTGGGCACCATGAATATGAACCTGGTCTTCTCCATGAGACAAGTTGTATTTTCTCCCTTTTTTTGGCAATTGGGCCATGTGTTCATTTGACAGTGGGACAGATTTGTGGGCTGGTTTAGCAGTGAAGCCAGATTTAAACAGCTGCTTTTGAACTGAGATACATATTTGTTGGGTTGTACCTCTGTCCTGCTGCAGCATCACCTCTTGCTGTGCCCCAGGGCAGTTTCCTGTTGTTTCCCAGCATTTCCACAGTGGTTTGTTTACCTGTAGTAGGCTGGTTTCTTAGTACTTACCTGAGACCTGCTCCCCTCTCTTGGCCCCAAAATGCATAATAAATTTTCTCTCCACTTCACTGCTGTGATATTCCCAACCCACGGGTTCTGTGTGTTCCTCCTGTTACAGATTGTTGTCCAGGCACTGCAGTGTTCCCACTACTCTATTCTCTGGCAGCTGGTGAAAATCACCGAAGGCTCCCCTTCCAAAGTAAGTAGAGATTTTGGTCATGCACATTTTACTGATGAAACACATAATTTTATGTCATCTCTAACATGTGTAAAATGTTGGTGTCTGGTTTGTTCATATTTCAGGATCTATTTAACATCACATGCACGTGTCTAAGCTATGCAAACAGTCGTTATCAGGATTTTATGGCAGCTGATTGTTACATTTTTATTGCTCAAGATAATTAATGCATTTATTGTGAGTCCAGCAGTTTGCATAACTGATAAGTGATGTTGGCAGTGCTGATGAATAGTTGTAAGAAATGCTGCTGATATGTAGACCACAGATAGCCTAATATTTATGTGTAGTTACCTTACTTACCTTTTAATTGCATCTTTTATGTTGCAGTAGAAATGTAAGGTACTGGCAGGAACATTTGCTAATAAAAAGAAGTGCACACAAGTGTAATGCAGGCAGGACAGTGTGACATGTAACTTGTTTGTTAGACTGAGCTTTTCCAGGACCTTTCCTCAGCTCTTGTCTCACTCAGAGGCAAACATCCTGTCTTTTTAGAGCTTTTTCAGAAGTAATACATCAAATTAAAATGGTACGAAAACTGAAGTAATAATTGTACTTCCCCATCAGCATCAAAAAAAAAAAAAAGATGCTCTACTAAAATGCTACTAAAATGAGCATTTTATGCACATAAAAATGATAAAAATACATTGTAAATTCTTAGAGTTGTTTTGAATGCTGACCTGTATCGACATTTAAAAATAGCTACTAGAAAAAAAGAATAGTTTCTTTATTCTGCCTTTCATTCCCATTTCCCCCTGCAGCCTCTTTCTTGAGCAGCAGGGCCTACCCTGCCTGGCTCTGGGTGCAAATGCCAGGACACAGAGCCTTCAGTGGGACTCCCATCTCCCTTCCCTGCACGTCTCCAGGCTTTGAACTCAGTGCAGTAAATTGCTGCAGTCCAGCACAGCTGGTGCAGAGTGAGAGCTGTCAGCATGGGAAAGAGTTTCACGTTGTCTTGTGTCTAAATTACAGCAGAAGGAACATCCTTCCCATGACCTGCAGCTGGGACTGCCCCAGAGGGTCCCTGCCAGGCCTGGCATTGCTGGGCTGTTGGTGTGGGACAGGGGCACTTCCACTGAAAGGGAAGAGGCCTTTATTTATCTCAGTGACTGGCTCTTGCTTGTGGGCGAGTTCCGTGCCCATCTGGCTCTACCTGCTTTTCCAAACTAGGGTGCATTTGTATGAGACATTGTTTCAAAGGTGAGTGCAGAACAGCCTTGATCTCTCCTGGATTTCTGACCCTGTTCTGGTCCATGTGAGACATAATGGAGCTCATAGGAATGAACTCTGAAGGTCCCTCGGGAATGGCCTTTCCAAGTACAATTCTGCTTCTGGAATCCTCCATGGAAATGGGAATTACCCTGACCTAGAGAGCTCTTACCAACCTATTCTTTGGGGTTTCACCCCACCCCTACAGAACACTGACTGTTCTGAGTGCTTGGTCCAAGGGAAGCTCTGTTTCCTGCCCTGCAGCCCCAGCTGTGCTCACAACAAACAGGGTGGAGAGGCACCACAGCCTTGGCGTGGCTGGAGCAGTTTGTTCTGGGTGGTTTGCTGTCGAACTTCCATTGTAGTTTGTTTGATCTGCACTGTATCTGTCATTTCATCCATTAGGAGATCATTTGGCCCATGGCTGGTGTGTAAGCCATGATTTAGACTTGGAAATGGGCAGGCATTAAAGGGGATCACTTGAGAAGTGTGGCTAGACAAAGAAATAACACCAGCAGCTCAGAAGGAAAAATAGTGTCTTTCATGAGCACTTTTTAGGTATTCAGGCTTTTACAGGACCATTTCTGACCCAGTATTTTAATATGTAGGTCCATCCAGGTTTTTAGTGTTACTTTGCTGTATCTATAATGATCTGAGGGCAGGCTGGGGGTGGGGGGGTATCTCTATGAGAGCTGTATAAAGTAGAGAGTATAGCTGTAAAAAGTGGAGAGGCTTTGGGACATGCAAGCCTTTCAGGTTTGAGCTGAAAGCAGAAGATTACAAAAAAACCACAAGCTAAGAGCAATTGCTTGTTTTCTGTTTAGATACAAATCAGGTAAACTCTGAAAGAGAAGGAGAAGGTCGTTGGTACCTCTGGGGGGGTGAGAGCAGGGGAAGGTGAGGTGGTGAGAGTTACTGAGGGGAAAGTGGGAGCTGAGAAGTGGGGAAGGAAGGAAGATAAAAGATGGAAAGAAAATGGGGAGAAAAGGATTTATAATGTCACAAAAGTAAGTCCTTGTTTTCCCGAATCCCACAGATTTATGAATTTTTGTTCCCAGTCTCATGTTTAGAAGATGATTTCTTAGATTTCTCTTAGGCATCCAGGCTGAGAGATCAGAGATGGGGGGATTGATTTGTAAGAACTGTTCATGTGCTGCCAACTGGGTCATTGTGTGAGTTCCTGCTGCCAGGAGGAGCTGCTCTGTTTCACATGGTCAGGTCCCACTTAGGCATCCAGTGCACAGGATAAAGTATATTAACATTTTGGGATTGCCAGCACAGCAGTCAGGGGTGGGAAGAGGTACTTGGTTTGGTCATTTCAGGCATATATTGGCAAGGTTTACATTCCTGAATCAGGGATGCTCTGCATCCAGCAGGTGTCATTTTAGTGCAGGGAGTTGGCAGGAGGGATATGGGGGGTACTGGGAACATTTCTTTCCAAGTGAAACTGTCCTGGGCATAAGCCCAAGCCCAGGCACATGAATTGCTTCCTGAGAGACACTTTCCAGTCCAGCTGTTGGGCAGGGTTTGGATTTGGGCTGCCTGCTGGAGTTCAGGTGTGTTGGACTGGAGGCTTTGTAAGCGTGGCAGGGGAAAACTCCACATTTGTGGTTTAGATCAGATCAGGGTCAGATCAGTTCATTGATTTATTAACAGCACACAATGAAGGTGCAGTGAGTGCAGCACATCTGCAGGATAAGCCCCAGGCAGACAGCAGGGAACCAGGACACTGGGCACTGACAGTGCTGCTGAGCAGCCACAGTCCAACTGCCCTCAGCTGCTCCAGGTCACTCCAGTCCCCTCCCCAGGACACACAGAGCTCCAGGAGTTACCAGGGGGGTGCTCTGCAGATTCCCCCAGTTGGGTGATGCTGTTTGGGTTACAGCTTTGATCAGAGAGCTGAAGAGAGCGATACCACCATAAAAATGTATCAAAGACATTCAGTAGAAGGGTGATAATTATCACTCCAAATTCTGTGCCCAATAACAAAGATTCCACCAGTTAAATGCAGCAGAGAGTTGGGGCAGAGTTACTTTAAGACTCTTTCTCAAGGTAGCCTGTGGAGAAGAGGGTGCACTGAGGAGTCACCTTGGTGTCTAAAATCTGAAAGGAACAATTGATCACTAAAGGCAGGCTGCAGCAGGGAAGGGTGAAATGTTTAAGCCTTGAAATACCCACAGTGTAATGCTTGAATCTTTGGTGGTCCATGTTCAGAGGAGGTTGAGGCCATGGCTGTGGGGGCTGTCAGGGTGCTCTTGGAGGGGAAATAGTTCATCCCATGGCGTTTGTGGGAGCAGTCTGTTGGAGCCTGGAGAAAAACTGTTCTTCAGGTGAAAAGGGGTTTGAGGAGGGTTCCAAAGGAAGCTGGTTATTTCTCAGCAGGAGCTCCCTTGTCTGTAGATCTTGGGGAGCAAGTACCTCGGGAGGTAGGAGACTTGTGGATTAACTCATACTAGATTTCTTCATGTATTCAATAAATCAGGTGCCCAGGACCATTGTCCTGTGCACTGGACATGTGTGTAATGAAAAGGAAGTATTTGCAGAAGAACAGAGTCCAAAAACTTAGAGCAGTAACAAAAAAAGCATGAACAGAAACATGGAGAAGAGGCAAGAGGGAGGTCAGAGAGCTGTGAGTGAGCAGCAGGCAGGCTGGCCAAAGGCATTGCTGTTGTAGTGTGGTGAGGAGAGGGGGGTTAAAGGGCAGCTTGGTGACCTGGTGGTTTTTCATATGTATATGGGCACAGTGAAAGGTGGCACGAAAAGCTGGAGGGAAGAAAAGAGTCCCAAGGTGCAGAAAGTTGGACCATATTCCAGAGTTACACTGGAAGCTGGTGGCTTTTGGACCAAGCTGGAGAAGGGTGTTAACAGTGCAAATCAGGACTTTGGAGGAAAAGCAGTGGGCAAACAGGGAGGAAAGCACTGGGTTTGGTAGATGAATGTAGCAGACACACAGCATTTCTAGATGTCCTCAGTGGAAAAAACAAGCTTGAATTTAAAGCTAGGAAGTAGCTGCAGAGTTGGAGACACCAGTCTTGGGAGCAGTTGTTTGGTTTTGGGTGGTGGCAAAGACACCAGTCCTTGCTGTCTGGCTCGTTCTGTTCCTGCCATGGACTAGTTAAATGTGCAGAGCTGTGACCCCCTGGTTTTCCCCAACACCAAGGGGATGGGGAGATTGTTTCATACCAGTTCTCTGCTGGAGGCAGCAGGTCAGGGATTCACACTGGAGAGCCTTGGCTGGGCCTGGGAGTGGTCAGACATTGAAAACCTAATTCATTTTCTTTCCTCCCATTTTCTGTTTTGGAAAAAATTCCCACTCTGTGGTAGTCTGGGGATTTCTCCAAGCTCAGAAGGTCCCAGATGGCTCCCTTGTACTGCTCTGCTGGGCTTTCTCCTGCTGCCTCTAACTTTTCAGCAGGAAACTGTGTCATGTGGTGCTGTCAGGCGAGAGGGTAATAAATAATGTGTTACTCGCTTTGACTGAAAGAAAAATGGGAGACATTCTCATTCCGTTTTTAACCTTTATATAGGATTTTTCATAGGTTTTAGTTTCTCCGTGGAATTCATGAACATCAGGTAATTGTGATAGAGAGTAGGAAGCATTGATTGTAATCCCAGTGTTAAAGGTGTAAATCAGAGTGAACTGATAAGCCTGGCACCAGTCCCAGGTAAAACCCTGGACTGGCAGATAGCAAACACAGCTGGTACAAGGCTGCAGGGCCAGGAGAGAAGGCTGGAACACATCAGGCTGTTGTGGGAAGATTGCATTGTTGATGGAGAAGTTTCTGTAAGACACTGGTACCTCACTGCATTTCAGGGAATATTTGGATTCAGTGTCATTCATATTCAGTAGCTCTAAGCTGATTAATACAATAGGAAAATTTGTAAGTGAGAAATCCTTACTCAGTGGGATGGCTTCCACTGCATTCCAGGAGAGGTCCAGTGTGCTGAAAGCTGGTCATTTGTGTCAGTCCTCTGGGAAGGTAAGTGAAGGCGTTTAGGGTGGGGAGGATAGAGATCAGCTGGTAAACAAAACACAATTTAAAAAAAGAAGAGGCATTCTAATCCTGCCAAATGGAAGGTTGTATCCAGGAACAAGGAGGCTGAGCAGGGGGCAGCTGTGGCTTAGAACAGAGCAGAGCTGTGTGCCAGATCCTGTCGGGGAGGGCACTGCAGTGGCACCAGGGATCCGGGGCTGGATTGGCAGGGACAAGCTGACAGGGAAACAGGAGGGTGGGAGAACTCCGAGCCCCTCAGTGTCCCTGTCAGAACAGCACACTCACACTGGTGGAAATGGGAAGAGCTTCAGAGCCCTGGGGCCACTTGGGGTGCTTGGGCACCCCGGCAGAGCTGCTTCTGCTGAGAACCAGGAGGGGAAACACAGGGACCAAAAGGCTTTTCACAAACACAGAACGATGAGATCTCGTGGCAGGAAGCACAAGGAAAGCTAAAACCAGGAATGAGAGCCAGGGACTGAACAGGCAGCAGGACTGGAACATGCAGCAAGGCAAACATTGCACGTGCAGGGTGTGGGTTCCTGGAGTTTGGGTTGGATTTGCTGTGTAGGACGTGCTCCTTCCCCCTGGAAGCTGATGAAGCATCATGGGGGAAGGGCTGCAGGAGCCCTGGGTGTTCATTTGATGCCATTTGGGGTTCTTGTTTCCTGCTGGGTGTTGGGTTCATCACTGCTGTGAGATGAGCCCCTCTCCCAGTGTGTGCCTGTTCCTTGGTTCCTCTGGAGTCACTCCTGGCTCTCACAGGAGGGGCTTTTCTGCTGGTCCTGATTTCTGTTGCCATGTGGCCACTTGCTCTTGTCTTGTCACAATGTTCCCATATCTTACATTCTGGTTTGATTTGTTCTCCCCAGTTCATTTTGTTATCCATAAAAATAAGAGACTCCTCAGATTTCTGTGCTTTGCCCTCCCATCTCCCATGTCTGTGGGATAATATTTGTGTGGAGCTGGACACATTCATTGGTGTTTTATTTTTTTGTCCATGTTGATTTATCTGAACACGGAATTCTTTATAAACCACCAGGTGGGCTGACCTTGATGTATTCAACCTTTTGTTCTGAAACATTTATAATTTACATTCAGTGTAAAATAGAGACAATTTAACTCAGGAATTTATTGTTTTATTTTTATTATTTATTACAGGGAAACTTTGGGTCAATCCTCAGAAAATTAATGGCTTTTTTCTACTCCGTGCTCCTTGAATAGCATATTTTTTCACAGCCTTTTTGTTGTATGTATGAAATTGTCACCATTTTTTTATTTTGCTTCCTCCTAGCAGTGTTTGTTGTTTTTTTTTTAATTATTATGCACTTTTCCTTTCTAATGTTGATTTTAGGACGACTTGTTGGTGTTGAGGAAAACTGTGAAATCCTTCCTGGCTGTGTGCCAGCAGTGTCTGTCAAATGTCAACACCCCAGTCAAGGAACAGGTAAGGGAAATGTCTGGCACATGCTTTTGGAAAACTGTGAAGGAATTCCTGGGTGCTCAGGCTCGTGTCCAGCTCCCACAGCTTCAGGCATCTGCCTCAGTCACCTGAGATCCCCTGGAGACAATTCCTGTATTAATAGATGGCAGTGGGCACTTTTGGAGGGTGGTCGAGACCTCCAGAGGGCTGAATCTTTCTGGATTTTTTCCCATTAAATCAAAGGGCTTGTTGAAATAATTCAGTCTGTCTCTGAAGAACACCATAGCTGTTGTTTGTGAATATTCACTGATTCGTGTCAGGTCTGTTGACATTTCATCTGTCTACAAATGGCATTTCTATCAGACCTCCCCAGATTTTGCAAAGACTTGCTGGCCTGTGGTATTTAAAAGATAATATTTCTTAAAAGACATTTTTGTTTCTTCAAAAGCAGGCTCTGCTTGGCATTTACACTCTGTTCTGCAGGCTGATAAATATAAATATTAAATGCTCAGAGATGTCAGGAGTTTATGTATGTTTAAACACTCGTGTCATTGGCTTCCAGCAGATTTACCTTTAGTAATTGGTTTTTAATATTCAGAGTAGTTACTCTTGGCATATTGTATTAATCTTCTATAATGTGAAAATATCACATAGTTCCATGCAAATGCCACCCAGCACAGCTTAAGGCAGCACTGAATCCTTCCTGCCTCAGCCAAGGGCAGCTGGTCCTTCCCATGGCTGCAGGGGCTTTCTTCCTGGTCTCTGTTAGCACCCACATTAATACATGTTCACGTGCATTAACATGGCTTTGTTCTCTCTTTATGGGTTATTTCATTGGTAATTCAAACTTTCCAGAGAAGCTCCTTTGCAGTTCCCCATTCTGGGGAAGTTTCCAGGTTCAGCCACACAAATCCAGGCCCAGCCAGGCCTGGAGAGAGCAAGTGTCCCTGTCAGGGCTGGACTGGAGACTCCACAGGTCCCTCCCAGATAACTCTTCTGTGATTTTTGTTCATTTTCCTCCTTAAAAAGTACATTTCTGGGAGTGCAGGACTACTTCTTGATCCTTTTGTTTGACTGGATTTTTTTGGAGAATTCTGTGTAAATTATAGTGTCTCCTTCCCATATTTGATCCTTAATCTGGACATTCTTTCCAGAGAAAGTCAATGTCCATATCAAAGGAGGGAAAAATATAATAAGTATTTAGAGAAACTGGGCTGAAACGTTTGAAATGTTCCTGGACTGGGTGAAATAAATACCCTGTGAGCAAGTGCACTGCTGCCTTTGTGTGGGGCCCAAACCAGCCCTGCCAGAGCTCACCTGCTCTTCTTCAGAGGTCTGCAGGAGGATGAGCTTAAATTCTGCTGAGTATTGAGGGAGTCAGAGCAGTGAGATCATCCCTGAAATGAACCACAACCCTTCGGATGAAGTGGAGAAAAATCCCAAACACCTGCATCTGTTTCCAGGGTGCCAGCAGAACACAGTTTGCAGGTTTTAGAACATACTCCAAGGAGTAAGTGAGCCCCTGTGAAGGTCAGCATTTGCAAAGGTTTCATTTGGGAAATGCGTCGAGTTTTCAGAACCTGAGCTTAAAAAGAGAGGAATTAAGAAGGTTAAAAAGTCCTCTCTAAAAGGTGATTGGGTGTTGAATGTGAGGTAGATGTTCCCAGCTGGCTGTGACACCCCCACAGGAGCCATTCAGGGGCTGAACAGTGTAACTGTGGTGCAGGGATGTGCCCAGAGGAGCCCTGGGGAGAAGGAAGGGTACTGAGAGCTGCCTTCTGTCCTCAGGTAACGAGGGTGTGACAGCAATGAGCAGAAATCATGGCTAGTTCTGCCCTGCTTGGCTTTTGTCTGGCTTTGAAAGCTGTGCATAGATACTTCCTTTTTTTTTGCAGGAATTGTTGATGAAATTCTCCAAGAATTACTGTGCTATGGCTGCTTCTCTGTATTTTTGGGATCTGACAAGTGGCTCAGCTTGAATTTTCCCTCATAATGTTGTTCATATTTTTGCTTTGTTGGTCAAAAGAGGTGTTTTTTCTTTGCTACCAATTTGGCTGCAGCCCTTAGATGACAGGTAGGTTTAGAGTTCTTTTCATAGAGAAGAAATGGAAGTTTAATCTAAATCCTCCAGGATGTGGAAGAGGTAAGAAACACAGCTCCTTACACAGGAACCAAAGGCAATCCCCAGGCATTTACATTTTAGAGAAAATCCTTGTGGATACTTTTCACAGCACACAAACAACTACAACGAGTACAGTTTAAGAAGCCATTTAGTGATAGCAAGGGATATCTGGAAATGAAACCAGTGGTGTTTTATTTTGTATTTCTGTGACCTGCTCCTCACTGCACTCGTTCCCTTTGCCTTCCAGGCTTTCATGCTGCTCTGTGACCTGCTGATGATCTTCAGTCACCAGCTGATGACAGGGGGTCGGGAAGGGCTGCAGCCCTTGGTGTTCAACCCAGACTCAGGCCTGCAGTCAGAACTGCTCAGTTTTGTCATGGACCATGTCTTCATTGACCAAGATGATGAAAACCAGAGCATGGGTATTCGAAGCTTTCATATTCTTTACTTAGTTTTTTTTATAACAGACACAGAAGAAAGGAGAAAATGGAGTCTTCTGATCAGTTTGCTCCAATGTGTTCAGAAGTATCCCTTCTTTATTTTTGGGAGGTCTGAATGTGAGATATGTGACAGGGCTTCAAGGGAAAGGAGTACAATGGAACAGCACAGAGAAGAGAAATCCTTCAGAGTTACCAGAGTGACAGGATCCTGAGGGCAAACCTTGGCAGCAAAGCTCTAAACAATGAAGGCCTGAAGAAACCGATGCCACTAAATAAACAGCCCTTGTGCTCCTCCCTCAGAACAGTCAAATCAAGCTGAGGACATCACTGGTGTGGCTGGAGCCTGGGAAGGGGCCTGGGACAGTCTGGACACCTGGCACTGGTTGCTCTGAGCCAGGAACCAGCATGAGAGGAGGGGCTTTGAGGGGCCCCATCTCTGCTCCTCCCAAGGATGGCTCAGATTAGAGAGGGCAGGTTGAGGGGCCCCATCTCTGCTCCTCACAGGGATGGCTCAGGGTTTTGCCTCTCAGTCAGGCAGGGGCAGATTTGTCATTTAGGCCTGGTTTTAAATAACCTGGTGCTGCTGGGGTCTGCTATAATGCCTATTTGTTATATATATAGGTTATAATAACCTAAATGCAACTACAGAGGTGTCCAGTGTCTGAATCCTAAATAGTTTTGGACAAGAGATGGATTCCCAGTCAAACTATGGGAAGAGCTGGTGAGTGAGTGCTGTAGTGCTCTTTTGGGCACATCTTCTGAATTTCTGCTGTACTCAATTACTTGTATGTCAGCAGCACACACAGGGACAGCCATGTATGGAACTAAGGTCTCAGAGAATGCATTCTTGCTCCAAAGGGGGTTATGTAAGTTGTGGAATATACTTTTATTATACGATATAATACTTAACATTTTATGTGTGTAGTTTAATTTTCATTCACTGAGTGAAGTCTTGCATGGGGACTGAATACTTCTGGCATTGCCATTCAATGTTAATGCTTCTTCCAACTGGGTTTTACTTCCTGTTGTTTAGAGCCATTGATTTCACATCTGAAAATCCAAGGCAGGCAGTAGAAGCATTGCTGCTTCTAATTTTCCTTTTGTTAAATATTTATAGCTTAGTAAGGTAATGAAGCAGCTCCAAAAGGCCTGTGTTTGAGAAGTTAAGCAAAAGCATTCAGCGAGAAAATAAGTGACTCAGTCCCATGTGGGTCATGTCCAGGACTACTCAGGACTATGGATAGTCCTTGGTCAGTGGTGTGTCATGTTCCTGAACTTCCCTGGGAGTTCTGAAGTAGACAGGACTCAAGAAGGATCACTTTTAGTTTTAGCTTCCCCAGCAATCCTTCTCGTTCATGGTCAAGAAGTGATTTTTTTCTGAAAGCTCCTTTTCCATAACGTTGCTTTGAAACATAAGTTACTTATGTTACATTTTGTTGTCGATGGTGCTTTCAGAGGGAGATGAAGAAGATGAAGCCAACAAAATAGAAGCTTTACATAAGAGAAGAAACCTTCTGGCTGCCTTCAGCAAGCTGATCATCTACGACATCGTGGACATGCACGCGGCCGCCGATATCTTCAAACACTATATGAAGGTACAGCCCTGGGCATCCTCCCCGTAGTGCCAGGGCTCCTCTTTCCATCCCTTCCAGGGCAGTAGGTAAAGGTCAGACACTTCCAAAAGCTTTTTCAGCCTTATTTGATTGTTTTGTAAGAATTTTTCCTTTCTTACACCTGCAGCAAAGCACTTCCTCTGCTGTGTAGCAGCTGTGCTTTAGTTAACTCAGCACCAAAAGCTGGTCCTGGGAGGTGCTGAGTGTTTCCAGAGAGGCTCCTGCTCCTCAAATTCATCCCTAGAATCCACAGCAAGTTCTCTGTTCAATGTCATGTTTCCCTGGCAGTCTCCCAGCTTGATGCTTGCCATAAGGAGACAGGTTTTTTGTGAGAGAAAGTTGTTTTAAACAGGACAGCAGTAAAAAAACCAGCTCTGTACAGTGGGGATGTGCACTCTGTACAGTGCGAGTGGGGATGTCTTAGAATACAATCTGGAAGGGTCTCTACTGAAGAAGGCAGGAGCAGCATTTCAGAGGGAATGAAAATAAGTGGCTGCGAATGCAGAAATATTAATGAGGCTGAAAGAATACTTTGGGGAAAAATCTGTTCTCAGCCTGGAAGTTTTAATGACAATACAGGCTTTTCTCCCCAGATGGTCAGATCCAGAGGCTGTGCTTTCCAGCAACCACACAAAGAAAATGAGCCCTTCAAGCTGACTAATTCCTCCCTTTTGTGGCCTCAGTGAGTCCCTCCCTTGGCCACCCTGCTCCTCCCTGTCCATGAGCTGCACACGGGCTGGCTCTGCTCTCACCCGCTGCTGGAGGCTGGGCTGGGGCAGAGGCTTGTTCTTCCTTAGAACTGGCAGCCATGGGCCTTCATCAGGGACTTAGTTTGGGGCAGGAAATACTCTTTTGTTTGTTTTTCAACATATTTGTTACCAAAGATAATAACAAACACAGAAGTTCCCTACTTTAGCACCGGGTGCAGGTTAAATTTTCATATCTGGATTTGAGACTAATTTTTTTTGCAACTGCTGCCTTTTCAAAGCAAGAATTACAAATAATCTTTCTCTTGGGAAAACTGTAAGAAATTGTATTATAAGAGGTTCAATGTAAAGAGGTTTCTTTCACATTTTTCCTAGTACTACAATGACTATGGAGATATCATTAAGGAAACCCTGAGCAAAACAAGGCAAATTGATAAAATCCAGTGTGCAAAGACACTCATCCTCAGTTTGCAACAGGTAAGAGTGTTGATTTTTGTTAGAAATGCTCACTGCAGACAATCCTGGGCAGGCTTTCCTCTGGTGCCCTTTACAGCAGAGCACAAAGGCTGCACTTCTGGGAGGAGATTCTCTTATTCCCAGGTCAGGCTGTCCCTGTCCTCTGTGTCAGTAATCCCTGTCTCCATAAACCCACTCTGGCAGAGCTTTGGTCGCATAGAAATGGCAGGAAGGGAGAGAAGAGCCTTGAAGGCAGTTTGGTCCATTTGGTTCATGGAATTTGCTTACTGCTCCCAGGTGAACGAGAATTAGGATGACTGTTGCTTATCATTTGCTGAGTTAATGCATATTCCTTACATTTTGTCTAAATACTGATTGATTTTTCAGATTTCAAGCTAATTAAGTCTTCCAGTATTGTTAGACCTGGTTTTTTCCCCTGAAAAAATTTGCTTTCCATCAACCATAAATTACTGGGTTGATGATGAAATCCATCTGCCAACACTAAACACCACTCAGGCCCTTGAAGTACCAGCTACAGCCATTGCACAGGGAAATTACTGCTGTAGGTTAGAGGTTCTCAAATCAGCTGGGCCTCCCAAAATTCACTCCAGAGTACTGAGGGATTTCCTGCAGCATTCTGGAAGCTGAGGGAGATCTGTGAGAACTTGAGAAAAACAGATGTACTTCCAGAAGAATGGGTGAGTGTCAAAGCAGCTCCTGTGTTTAAAACTTGGAGAGGAGGAAGCCAAGTGCCAGAGATCCATCAGCCAAACATCAGCTCAGGAAAAAATAATGAGACAGGCTCTTTGCAAGGGCCTGAGTGAGAGGCACCAGCCAGGAGGAATTTGTCAAGTAGGAATCCTGTCAAATTAAACTGTCATTAATTACATGGTAGCAGAGCTTGTGGAGATCAGAGGAACAGTAGATTTAATGCAGCTGATTTAATATTGTCCCTGACACTGTCTCCTGTGGTGTTCTCACCAGCAGCTCAGGGAAATGTGGTGAAAATGGCAGTGCCAGGAGGAGGCAGAACTGGCTGGAAAACCACTGAGAGTTCATTCTTGTCCTGGGGGTTGGAGCAGCAGTGCTGGGCAGGCAGGAGGTGGAACATTCCGAGGACAGGCTGGTCTGATGGGTGATGGGGGTTTAGAGAACAGCAGGAGGGTGCAGGACTTGCCTGATGAGCTGATGGGACCAGGAGAGATGCTGTTCAGGGAAGGGGGGTGCAGGACTCTCTCTGAGGTATTGTCCACACAAATACAAGGTGGAGACACTTGGCAAACAGCAGCTGGACAGAGGAAATCCTGGGAACTGACGTGGACTCTGTTATGTCTCAGTGAAAAAATCCCTGCACTGGCCACTCCCAGGTGGAAGAGGTGAAGGACACAAGTCTTTCCCAATGAAAATGTTTGTGAGCTCACAGGTTTTACCCACTGCTCCCTCCTGCAGCTGTTCAATGAGCTGGTCCAGGAGCAGGGGCCCAACCTGGACAGGACCTCTGCCCACGTGAGCGGCATCAAGGAGCTGGCGCGGCGCTTCGCCCTCACCTTCGGCCTGGATCAGATCAAGACAAGGGAGGCGGTGGCCACACTGCACAAGTGAGTGGTGGTAAATAAACCAGATTTTTATGTTACCTGAGGTTAAAGCTTTTGTTCAGCGTGCCCTTTGTAAAGGTGTGCGATCGCAGCGGGTCCTGCAATAATTGCGTGTGTGTTTTCTGGTTTGTGTAGGAAAATGATGGGGGGTGTGCATGGATGTGTGTGAAAAGGAAGGAAAACCAGCTGCTACCTAATTATTGGTTGGAATTGATTGGATTGGCCATGTTTGTTTAGTTCAGGTAAAGCCACTGGTGTTCTACACACTCGTGTGGGTTGTGTCTAACAACTGGGGATGGCTCTTGGTCCCACACCACTGGGAATCCCAGAGGCACTGCAAAAAGAATTCCAAAAATATTTTGGAAATCTTTTAAAGGAGATTGAAGCTTTTTATGTAACTGCTGCATAGGAAAGTATAGAAAGGTGCTGCTAAATTCAAATTACGACTGGGCAACTTTTTATTTTGTTACAAATGTCTTCATCGAGTGCTTAGTTTGGGGCAGGAAATACTCTTTTGTATGAATGTTAATGTCTGAAGATGTTAATGTTTCTTTACTGTAGGGATGGCATAGAGTTTGCCTTCAAATACCAGAACCAGAAAGGACAGGACTATCCCCCTCCAAACCTCGCTTTCCTCGAAGTGCTCAGTGAGTTCTCCTCCAAACTCCTGCGACAGGACAAAAAGACTGTGTAAGTAATCTCTGTGTTCCTCTCTGGCTTCTCTGGGCTCTGCCATCCCTGGGGGTGTGTTCCAACAACCTACCAGGGGCTGTAGAAAGTCCCAGGAAGACATTTCACATACACACTTACTCATCACTTTGTACTTCAAGGCAATAAAAATAAATGGGAAAAGGAAAATCAGGTCCACTGATGAGGTGAGTTTGAGACCTCCCAGAACAATGTTCTTTAAAATTTCCCATGGGGCACTGAAAGTAAAAAACAGTCTTTTTTTCAGGCTAGAAGAAAAAAATTAAATGTTACTAGTGCAGGGAAATTACAGTCTGTAACCATCCATTTCTGCTGGCTATTTACAGAAAGTGTAAACAGGTATTTGTTGTTTATTTTAATATATTGGAAGAGGTGTCCAGTCAAACATCAGCCAAGCACTATGTGCCCAGTGTAGAACTGAATTAATTGAATAACTTCATGACAATTTAAAAACTGCAATTGCCAGATCTGCTGATTTATGGTCATAGGTATCTTTCCAGTCAGTTTTGTGACCACGAGTGTAAGTCATAAATATCAACTATAAATACCTCAGCTGACTCTGTCAAGCCTTGCTGGAGTTTCTCTGGGAAGACATTTGTTTTAAAGGACTTTGCTGTTAGGGTTAAGAATTATGAGTGTTATGGTTTGATATGTTATCTGTGTGATAAGAAATACATCCTGGGTAACTTTGTATAATTTTTATTGTACACACACTTGAACCCATTGAACTTTTCCTTTGTGTCAATAATTTGTCAGTTCAGCAAACACTGGGATGCTCCAGCTGGTAAACTTGGCACTCTGTGGAGCTGCTCTTCACTGGTACATCTTGGAATCTTGTCAGCCTCTGTCCTGTTCTTCAGGACAGGACTTAGGGATAACAGGATTTCATGGCTGTAGATTCTCCTCCCTGTTGGTCTAAGTGCCATTGGGCTGTTTCCTGTTTAATTAGCGTCCTTTCTGTGCACTCCTCCCTTCCCCCAGGTTTCTGCAGTGTCTGACCTGTGCAGTTCCATCATTCTGTACCTGACAGTCTAATTTAACCTGATCCTGTGCATGAAATTCGGTTCTTCAGGACACTTTGTTCCTCCACGTTCACTGTTGCCATTTAAATTGCTTCTCCAAGGTTCTCCTGCTCACTGGTGCCCACACACACAGCCACTGGCTGCTCCTGCAGGACTGGGGTGGAGCCCATTTCTCCTGGGTTTGTCTGCCTTTGCTGCAGTCATCTGTTTCTGAGCTGTTGACCTCAGCTGAGTCAGATGATCAGGGAAAAGAAATAGATCCCCTGGAGCATGATTGACCTGCTCTGTGCTACATTGCTGCTTTAGGGTGAGCTCAGAGGTGCCCTGGGTGCCCCTGGCTGGGGTGCCCATGAGCACAGTCAGTATAGCTGCCTGTATGGACAGATTTCCTTGGAGGTGCCTCCCTCCTGCCCTGCTGGGCCTGTCCAGGGTGCTCCTCTGACAGGAGACTCAGCTGGACTGGAATGTTCATCTGCCCTTCTCTGCAGCTCCTCCATGCACAGGGACCTCTCTCCCTCCCCAGGGGCTGCCTGGGGAAGGTCTGTGACCCCCGTGTGGGGGATCCCTCTCCTCCTCCCTGCCCAGGGACCCTCCCCAGCTCTCCCTTGGGAGCCACACGGGCTCAGGAATGACCCTTACAGTCCCACAAGCATGTGGCTGCCTGTGCCAGCAGTTCTCCAGCTTGGAATGGGACTGAAGAGTTCATTTCCTGCCTCCAAACCCAAATTACCTGCCCAGCACACCTGGAATGGGACTGAAGAGTTCATTTCCTGCCTCCAAACCCAAATTACCTGCACGTGTCACCTGCCCTGGGCCAGAACAGCCTTCCTGGCAGTCCAGCACAGTCCTCTTCCACAGGGCTCCTCCTCCCTCCTGCTTTGCTGCTGGGTTTTTATCTGGGGGAAGAAAGATTGGGAATGGAGCAGCAACATCAGTTTCATTTAGTTTTCCTGTCGTGTTTATTTATTTGGCTTCTTGTTTTCTGAGTGACCTCCAGAATTTGGGAGAGCCATTTAGGGATCTGCTCACATCTGTGGATTTCATATAAAACTGTACACTTAAAGTGCCAGACTCATACAGCTGGGGAAAAAAATGTATACTAATGCTTTATACTAAATGTTTGTATTTATGTATTTATATAATAGCCAACTATTTACTGATGTTTTATACTAAAATCCACATGACGAATACAGAGAGGGAAATCCTGAGGAATTAGTTTAGGACAGAAGAGAGGTGATTGTCCTTGGAGGCATTTATTTCCTTTTATTTCTCTCAGAGACTGTTGGCTTAGACCAGACACTGACTGATGGGTGTCAGATGAGGTGGAGCCTCAGTATTGGTGTTCTTACTCCTGGAAATTCAGAGTTTCTCTCTTTGTTGAAGCTGGTAAGAACTGCCAGTGTGAAGCTCCTCCAAAACACTGAGCACAAGGTGTCTCAGGTTTGGCATCTGGGCAGTAAAGGACCCCAAGTGGTGTCATTTTCCTCCCTCACAGTTTGGCCCTAACCACACACTTGAGTTCTGTACATAGAAATGGAGGCAGAAAAACTTCTTGCTTTCCAAGACGCTTCTTCAGGTGGATTCTCTACAGTCATGAAGCACTCGAGTTGTACTGATTGTTGCCCAGGCATGTCCAGTGTGGCTCCTTGTCCTCTTCTGAACAGGACTGTGGAACAACTCCAAGCTGCCATGAGCTACCAGAGGAAAATCTTGCATTTCCTGTGGAATGTGTGGAGGTGACTCCACTGCTGCCAACGTGGCAGGGTGGTTTTTGGAGGCAATGGTGACTGAAGGGTGCAGGAAGTGATGCTGCAGTTACCTGAGTTCCCTCACCAATCCTGAATGTTTGCCTCTGCAGCCTGAAACTCGTTAGAGTCACTTCTATGGACCTTTGCATGTTCATTTTAGGGATCACTTCCAATTCCATAATTAAATAACCCCTGGACAAAGAAAACAACTCGTGTGCCCCCCAGCCCAGGAGGGGAGTTTGGTTCCTCCCTGCAGTTAACACGTGTGCACTGGACTTCTCCTGGCAATGGCCCAGATGTTCAGACATTTTATGGAAAAGGAACCGCTTGCGTTTGAAGGGACCCTTTTCCTTGCCCCGGGCTGCCAGAGGATGCCCTGCAGTGGTGGCTGCAGTGCTGGCACAGTGGCAGTGCCCAGGTTATCCAGAGGTCCTTGTCTTGTGTTTGCAGTCACACCTACCTGGAGAAGTTCCTGACGGAGCAGATGATGGAGAGGAGGGAGGACGTGTGGCTGCCCCTGATCTCCTACAGGAACTCCCTGGTGACGGGCGGGGAGGACGACAGGATGTCAGTGAACAGCGGGAGCAGCAGCAGCAAAGCCTCCTCCGTGAGGAACAAGAAGGGCCGACCCCCCCTCCACAAAAAGAGAGTGGAAGGTTTGTCTGGGTGTCTCCACGTGTGTGTGTCACTCTGTGCCTGTGTCACAGCTCTGCTCCTCAGGAGCCCTGGGGCTTTGTTAGTTAATGCAGAAATACAGGATATTTTCTCTGTGGAGCAAAACCAAGGCATCTGTTCTGCAAGTTCTGTTGGGCTTGAACGTGTCCTTATGGGAAATACCCTGTTCTTGTTTGTCTGCTCCAGAACTGGCTGGTCAGAACTGCTGAAAGCTGTTCCTGACCTTGGAGAGGTGTGGAGTGACCTGCACTACTCCCTCCTCACTCCTGGACTGCTGGTGTTGTGCCTGTGCTCCCTCTGGGGCTGCTGTGCATTCACAGGGAGCTGCAGAAACCCCAGGCAGAAATTCTCCTGTAGGTCTCTGGTTTTGCAGGACCACTGGAGAACAGTAAAAGGACACCATTTTTGTTCATTTTGTGTTGATATGTGTTAATATGTGTTGCTATCCAGTGTCTGTGTTTACTCTTTCTGAGACTTCAGGCATGTCCATCAGGAATTTGGCTGGGACAGCAGATTTCTTACAAGGCTGCATCTGTTCCTGGTCAACCTGTGTGACCTGTGTGCACTTTTGTGAATATTAATTTACTGTTCCACTACAGAGTAGGTGTAAGTGGGATCTTTAAACTTCAGGGGGTTTTCAGAGTCAGTGTCTATGATAGTAACTCCTTAGGGAGGAATCTAAAGCCACTTTGCCTGAATATACAGCAATTTCCCAAAATACTCCTCTGTGTGTGTACAAGTGTGCCCCTCTGCACTTGTCCAGCCAGGTCCCTTCTCCCCTGCAGCCTCTGTTCAGTCCTACACTGGCTCCTATTCCTCACAGCCAGCCTGGAGTGTAGGGAAACACTGGTCCCTTCCCTCAGACACTGCTTTCCTTCCTTCAGGATGCCAGGATTTTCACAGAATTCAACTGCTGAGGTTTCTTTCTTTCCTCTTGATACCATTTTCATTCTATTTTATTGTATTTTGCCAGTATCCTTTTTTTTTCCCCGGGAAGTGCAGTAGCACCTTTGCTTCCCTATAAGGCAAATCTCAGCCTTCTGACATAGTTTTTAGGCATTATTCACCTCTTTTGTGCTCTTTGTGTCCCCTCTCCTCAGTGATCAATAGAAGGGACAATTGATTTCCAACACTTTGCATTTGAGTAGCTCCCTTATTTTTTTCTCTTTCTCTTTAAAGGATCTAAAATAAGGGCAAGGTCACTGCAGACACTATCCTGGCACCAGAGAACCACATCCAGTCCCCTCTGGTTCCTTTCTGCCCTAAATGCAGGACATTCAGGGTTCAGCAGCCTGGGCTTGAGGACACTCCCTGTTGCTCCTGAGAGCAAATGTGCTCTGGGACATTTCTTCCCAGTGCCTTGAGGAAATCAATAGGATTTTTTTAAAAAAATCCCTAACATAAAAGAGATTCAAAGGTAAATTCAAGAACAAACAGGCAGCTTTTTAGACAATCCTAAAGGGTAGTAAAAGGCATAGGAAGAATGAACAGATCCATGGAGATCCCCATGTCCTTTCTCACCACATGTCCTGTCAGGAAATCCGTGATCTTGCCGTCTCTGTTCCCCTCTCCCCTGTAACTTGTGTTGCTCCAGCAACTTCCTTTTTTTCTCCATGTGTCTGGCTGCACTTGCCTGCTCTGTCCCACTCTCCTCAAGTCTGCCCCGTTCCCTCCTCTCTGCTTTGCTCCCTTCCCAATCCCAGCACATCTCAGTTGGACCTTCAGTGCCCTTGAAATTCTGATCCCTGTGCCCAGTGCCCCCTCTCTGCCCACTCGGGTGTTCTGACTGATGTCTCGAAGGGTCTGAGCTGACCACAGTTTGGGGTTTCACCTCATCTTGGTGTTTACCTTTCCCTTGGTTGCTGTACACATATGAGATTACCAGTTTTATGTTGAGATTGTAAACTCAGGGATTGGGAATTACCTTGGTTGGATGTGTGCAGAATGCCCAGCAATGGAGGCAGCGCTGCCAGACAGTTTTGTTTGCAATAACTTCTGTGTTTGTTCAGTGTTCCTATTTTAAATTGCTATTATTGCTGGGAATAGCTGGTAGTAATACTTAGAAGAGCAGAATATAAAATTAGAGCTGAAAAACTTCCCATTCCAAGCATTTCCCCTCAGTGCACACCTGTCTAATGCTGCCCTGCAGTTACCAGGAGTGCAGCAGTGATTTCCATGTTGTCTCCAGATGAGAGCCTGGAAGGCTCCTGGCTGAACAGGAACGAGAACATCCACACTCCAGGGGCACTGCAGGCACCACAGCTCACCTCCACTGTCCTGAGGGAGAACACCAGGCAAATGGGGGAGCAGATCCAGGAGCACGAGTCGGAGCAGGGATCTGAACAGGACTTTTTACACAAGTAAGTGCTGGAATTGCAGGATTGAATACAGGGAACCAGGCAAAGGAGTCGCTTATGACTTACACAATAGTCTTAGCCCGTGGCCCCATGGATGCAGTTTTCTTTGCAAAACCACCTGAACGTGCCTTGGCTATAGCTCAGCAAGACTTCCATTCTCTTCAGGTCCCAGGAAGACTATGTTGCAATGAAATAATAGTAGAAATTGCTCATGCTAATATTATCTCATAGCATAACCCCACAGTTGTGGTTAATCCTCTGAATGTTTGGGTCCCTGGGCTGGATTGAAGTGTTTCTCTAGAAGACCTGTAAATGTTCTTTTCTCTCCCCCTACCTGCTGTCATTTGAGGTTCTCTTGCTGAACTCAGGGGTTAATCCTGGCCAGAGGAATGCTTGGGTCTCAGCTGTTTTCTCATTTAACACAGCCTGCTGTGGCTCTGGAAGGGCTGCACTGGCCTTGCTGCTGTTCCCTTGTGCTGGGCACAAATCCCCCCAGAGGGCTGGCTCTGCTGGGCTTAGGGGGCACTGATGGTGCAGCCTGACAGGGTGAGGGACTGGCCCTCAAAGTGATGCTGATCAGGGTCTGTGTGTAAAAACAATCTGGTTTTCATGTTGTGGAATGTTTTAAAACATGTGTCCATTATTCATTTGGCTCTGTTCTTGCTCGTATTTTACCTGATCTGAGACAGTGAAGTAGGATTTAATAATAAATTGTAGCAGTGCTCCCACTCCAGGTGCCTGTTCCCAATGAAGGACCAATGTCAGTGTTTCCCATACCTGGTTTTATTGCAACGATTAATGGATTTCTTTGTGCGTGAACAGTGAGAGGAGCCAAGTTGTGGAAGGGAATCCGGAAGACATGTACAGTGATGAATGTGATTTAATTACCCTGCTGTGAAACATGACCATGGCCAGACACAGAACTTGGAGATAGATGCTGTCTATAAACAGCCAGCTCAGAAGTGTCTCTGTCCTGACGCTGTCCCATGTCAGTCCCCAGATGCAGATCTCGTGGCTGGGCCAGCAGAAGCTGGAGGATCTCAATCGGAAGGACAGGACAGGAATGAACTACATGAAAGGCAGGACTGGAGTAAGGCACGCAGTGTAAGTGCTCCCAGTGTCCCCCTGTCAGAGCCTGGACGGGACAGCGGGGCTGAAATGGGACCCTGCCTGTCCCTGACAGCGATTCCTGCTGCCCTGAGCCTGCTCTGGGCCCTGCACAGCGTCTCCAGCCAAGGGTTCCCCTGAGCAGGGATGGAGGAGCACACATGGGGAACACTGAAGCACCACATGCTCTGGTGCTGATCCCACCCAGTCCTTCAGGAATCCTTACAGTCTTAGAAACTGGGCCTGGATTCACTGCTGGATTCCCAGGGATTTACCGTGATCCTGGCAAGCAGTGTCACTCCTTCTTGGAAAAGGGCAAGCAGACACAGAGAGGTTATTGCCCTGTCCTTGTTGAGGGCAAATTTGATTCCTGTTTGTAGTGCAGTTCCATGGGACTTGCTGCTTCAGCCTCTGCCAGTGCTGGGGTGGGTTTTACAGACAGTTTTCCTCCCACTGATATTAGAGAGTTTGGCTTGACTCAGAATGAGGGTTTGGGGGAAGGCATTAAGGGATAGACTTTTAATGGCAAAGATGATGGTTGGGCAGTTTAAATGCCTGGAAATGACTCTGTCTTTGTTTGCTCAGACGAGGTCTAATGGAGGACGACGCTGAGCCCATCTTTGAAGATGTCATGATGTCCTCACGAGGTCAGCTAGAGGACATGAACGAGGAGTTCGAGGACACGATGGTCATTGATCTGGTCAGTAAATCTCACTAATGGCAAGTTCAAAAAGGTTGAAAGATAATTTAGAAGGAATTTTAGACGTGTCAACAAAAATTTCCAAAGTTTTGAGCCTGATTTCCAGCTGCCTGAGTGTTAAAGAGCTGCAGTGCTCCAAATGCTCCCTAGAGTTCCTTACACTGGAATTGCTCCCTAACAGGTCCTGTCACCACTGGCAGCCCCAGGTCCTTTCAGGTGCTGCAGAGGCTCCAGGCAGGAGTTCCTTTGCAGCACTTGGAACCTTCCTGGCCTCCCCCTCTGGAATGAGGGCTTCCTTGGGAAAAGGGAGAAGGGAGCAGTTTGCATTTCACACACCAGTGTTTTGAAGCCTTCCTGTTTCTCCTTTCGTATCTGCACAGTAAGGCAGAGGTTACTGTAGGACTGGGCTGTAATGCCTTGGAGAGAGAATTTAGGTACTGATTCAGTTGCAGCTGCTGAACACTGAGGTTACTGCCAGCATTCATGGGATGGCCAAGGAACAGCCAAGGCAAGGAAGGGAAGGAACTGATCAAGCCAGTGCAGCTCAGGTTTACTCTTGTGCTCCTGGGGAAGGACACCACCAAGGGTGTGTTCCTCAGAAATATTACAGGATCTTATCTTCAGTACCTTTTTTGTTCTAAATCCCTTTTTGACCATGTCAGGGCTCAAGTTTCACCATAAACTGAAAAGCATCAAGACAGTTAAGAGAATTTCAGTGCAGCCCAACACAGGAACATCCCTAAGTCAGGAAAAGCCTTAGGCAAGTCCTTAACCATGAGCACAGACTTAGACTGCAAACAGCCTCCAGGGTGTGCAGTCCTGGGCCAGGGCCCCCCTCGGTGTGGGAGCTCCCTGGAAGGGGAGGGTGCCCTGGCAGGGGAAGGTGCCCTGGAAGGGGAGGGTGCCCTGGAAGGGGAGGGTGCTCTGGCAGGGGAAGGTGCCCTGGCAGGGGAGGGTGCCCTGGCAGCTGTCCCCTCCTTTTGCAGCCGCCGTCGCGGAACCGGCGGGAGCGCGCGGAGCTGCGGCCGGACTTCTTCGACTCTGCTGCCATCATCGAGGACGACTCAGTAAGGCCTGTGTGTGCTGTGCCCCCCCAGCCCTGCCCCCGGCCCCGCCCCAGGTAACCCTGTCTTTTCCTCCCTCTGCAGGGATTTGGCATGCCCATGTTCTGAAGTCTGGGAAGACGTTTTACAAACTTGGAACTCTATTGTTTAGAGCTAGAGGCCTATATACTGTGATAGCTTGTATGGAAACCACACTTTTGATGTGATACGGTTTGATTTTTAACCAAATGATTGAGGTCAACCCCTTTTTGTGGTGAGGGAGAGAAGAGGAGCTCCTCAGTGACACCCGGGAATGTTGGCCACTCCAGTCACCTCAGAAGGGCTGACCTAGAGAATCATTTGTATCCCTGTTCTTGACTGTCCTAATACAGATTTTTTTTTTTCTGGATGAGGAGGAGGTTTTAAATTGTTAAGACAGCTGTCGAAATAAACACTGTTCTACATACGTTTTCTGAAAACAACATTGAGTGAAAACAGAACTTTTTAACTTTATTTTTCTGCTGTACAATTTAAAACAGTTTTAACATTTGCCTTTTTATGTTTTCAGAGCTAGCCATTTTTATTAAACCTATGCCTATCAGCCACTGACTAGCAAGGATGCTGTAAGCAGGTCGTTCTGGCTACAGAGAAGTGTTTTTGAACACACTGGATCTGATTCACATTATGGTACGCTCCTGTCCTCTCCCAGGCATGGAGAAGAGCACTCTCAGAGAAGAGGGTAGAATCCTAATGACGTGCATCTCTGCCAAAAAATTTCAGATTCTGATATGATAAACCCAGATTTTATACTCTTGAGAAGATTTATTTTTATTTATAATGGGACATAAAGTAAGAGATGTCCATGAAGCCACTTTTCCAACAGATGCTGTGTAACATTCATTTTATATAGCACATGGGGACACAAAACAGTAAATTTTCTATTGGTACTTGCTCTGTGCATTTTTAGCAACTTATACCAGCAAATAAAGTATTCTCAGTAAAACACACGAATGGTTCTCAAGTAATCACTTTGCTGTTTTTACTACCTACTTCAAGCCTGCCAACCCAAGGTACATAAACAGCAACTTTCCTATTAAAAAAAAATAGTCCAAGGGTGGGGGAAAGGATCACTTTAGCATATGAAAAGTAATTTTCCTGTACCATAAAACAAAGTCTACTTTCCATGCCGTAAATACCCTTTTCCGCTATTTTTGTAAATTAATTTTGCCAGTTAGAAGTACTGTATGTGCTGCATAGAAATTTGTGCTTAGATGGTGAAGTTCTTAAGCTTACAATGGACTACAGCTACATTTTCAGTGTTAACTGTGCATATTGAGAGTAATTCTTTGGAAAAAAAAATATGATTTTTCAAAAAAGCTAAAAACGTTAAAAAAAAAAAAATCAAGAAGACCCCAAAACATTCTCAGCTAATTCATTGTAATAAGAGATTCTTTTCAATGTCTTCAATAATTTGGAATTTCATTATGCTTCAATTTGATGACTCTGCCTAGTAGCTGCTCCTTAGTTAGACTGGCCTGATGCCAGCAGAGCTGGCCTTCCACAACTCCAGGATCTCCAAAACGGCCCCAAAACGTTCCTCTTCCTTCCTGCACTCCACCATTAGCAGCTGAGATACAAACCAGACTTACCCACTTGGAGCACAGCAGTTTCAGAGGTGCTTTTATTTTTTAGCAACTGCAGAATAATCACAGAGCTTTTTTCTCTTTGGAGCTTACTGGGAACCAACCCGGCCCGTCCGTGCCCGGGGCCGAGGCTCTCACCCAGCTGCGGTGTCTCTCCCAACAAGGGCACTTCTCAGACACAGTTGCCAAAAATGTTTGCCCAGGCCCTGCAGCCGTTCCCCCGGGGTGGGGATGGACCAACCCAGCAGCAGCTGGCACTTCAGACCGAGCTGTGCCCTCGCTCGGGGCACCCCCCGCGCCCGGGGCACGGGGCTGCGGCCCCGCTCACATCGCCCCGTGGGCAGCGGGGCAGAGCAGATGCTGCCTGGTTTGAGTCATTCTCAGACAAACCTTGTGCTTCACAGTCCTCTGTGTGGAAAACTGATTCCTAATTTAACATTGTAGAATACTGTATAACAAACATTGATGATCACGGTACCTGCAATGGGTCTCCAGTTCAGTTTGCAGTCTATAGGTTTTTGTATTATGAGTGTCTCCTTGATTGGTTTTGCTAGTAATTCTGTAAATTGTACATTTACAATATGAGGTTTTTTTTTTTCCTTTTGTACAATTTAAAACTGATGCTTCACCTTTCATTTAATAAACTATTCAAAATCATGAGTATGATGAGCACCCTCTTCACTATAACTTTTTAAATGCCTGTTTGGACCATCACATCCTGTCATCCCACTGACTAGTAGGAATTCAAGGAATTAGTAAAGGAAGTGCTGACAGGTAGTTTTCATGTAGTCCAGGCTTCACAACCTGGTCCTGTACCACCACCTTACCCACTCAACCTCAGAGTGATGGAAAACCCTCCCTGGGCTTCTTTTCCGTACCTCCACCATGGTGTGTTTTTGGTTGATCTGGGGGGTTATTGTGAGATTCTGTAAATCTGGGAAGGCCCCACACCTCTGGGAAAGCTGCACTGTTAGAACTTACAATTGCTTGAACTGTCACGAATTTTGAGAAGAATTTGCCTCTCCTGCCCTGCACGTCTGAAGTGACCTGGACCTCGGGGGAAGAAGCTGCAGTGGCAAGGGCTTGGAAGCTGCAACAACCAGGGGGCCAAATGGAGTTTACAGATTCCTGAAAAGAAATGTCCTCATTATTCCCATGTATGAGAGCAAGGTGCTATTTCTGTCCCACCCAGGAATGATTTCAGCTCTGTAGTGCCACAGAAAACTGATTTATCACCCGGCCCACTACCTCAGGAGAGTCACCCGAGCCAGGAATGGTAACGAGATGCAGCAGGTGAGGAACAGGGATAAGATTCAAGGTCTGAGCTGCTCCTGAGACACAGCCCAAACGCTTGTAAGTTATGCTCAGCTCCTGCTGACCTGGAGAACACAGTAAGTAACCTGCCTTGCTGCCCCGTTCGAGGGCTGCTCACTGCTGTGAGGAGTTCATGTTGTACCTCTTGTTTTTGTAGGTGACTGCAATTCAGGATCTCCAGTAGCATGGCCAGAGCAGCTTTCCAGCCTGTTTCCAGCATGTTGTGCTGGAAGAACAACTGCTTGGAAATGAAGAGAGAAAATCCAAACTGTTGTGCTGGCAAGGGACTGGAGAGGATGGAGGCTGTGGCACCAGTGAGGTCAGGAAACAACTAACAAAGCTGTACTTTTCTCTCTGTGGCAAAGACCACTTGCATTTCTCACTGTCTCCTCCTGACCCTGGGCAGGCTGGAGGAGCTGTGTGTGTATTGCTTCCCTTCCCACAGCTTCTGCCTCTAAACCTGGCACAGCCACCAGCCTCTCTCAGCTTTGCTTCTAAAAAATCTTCTTGGGCCTTACAAACCCTTCAAAAACTGACGGCTCTCTCACAGTCAGCTGAGCCCTCCTACCATGGCAGTGACCCCAGGACAGGAACAGTTCCTCAGGCCTTCCCTTGGTGGTGGAGCTGCCTCTGTCCCCTGGGGCAGAGGGTCTGTGTGCTCAGGTACAGCCAGGTACCTTCGTGCAGCTCCTTCAGCGTGCTGCAGCCAGGACAGTGTGTCTGGAACCTGAGTGTGCTGCCTCCAAGGCATCCAAAAACCTCTGGAGCTGGGACTCGGACCTGAAATGCTCCTTTTGAACTGTGCTTTTAGATAGTTTTTAGTTGTTGCCTTTTTTCCCCGCAGGTTGCAGGCTCCAAGCTCCACAGCTGTACTCACTGCACGTTCCTGGAAGAGCTGCTCCCTGGGAAGTGGCCATCCTGCCTCTCTGCTCCTTCAGGCCCGTGCTGGGAGCGAACAGCAGCAGCCCCATGTGCAGGTAGGGCAGTGCTGTGTCTCCCAGTGCATCCCTGAGGTCACTCCAGGCCCTCCTGTGCCTGCAGCTGGTGCAGCAGGGCTAAGGGTGACAGTGGCTGCTCCTCTCTGCCTTGGGGGCTGGGGGTCAAATGCAGCTTCTGCTGAGCAGAGCGAGCACAGGGCCCAGGGCTGAGCTGAGCTAACACCTACTACTAGTCTGGCAGATAATCACAGAAAAATGAGGCCTCTGTAGGCCTCTGTTCCAGCCTGTGCTGAGGGAGAAGGATTTTCATGTCCCACCAGAACTGCCCTTTTTTGTTGCTTGCCCTTCAGGAGGGGGCTGGCTGCACCTTCTCTGTACCTCCCACCTGTGCCCCAGCCTGCAGCTCTGAGACCCACCTGAGAGCCGGCCTGGAAAAGCTGTGCCTTGGACAGTCTGGCAGAGGAACACAACAGGTTAGTCTGGGATCCTGCAAGCCAGGCTCAGGATTCTCCTCTCTGAGTCTGTGGTGCAGGCAAGTAGAGTCAGACTCCAAAGATGCACGTGGAGCTACACCTGAATGCACAGGGGCCCATCTCGTCAGCAGGGAGAGGTCACTCAGCTCTGCCTCAGGGCCTATGGAATGAGGGAGCCAAGGGAATGTTTGACCTTGAGCAATTAGTAACAGCTCATCTGCTGCAGGCACGGCAGGGGCTGTTGATTATTAACCACCAAAAAGGTTTAGAGAGGTGAACTGGTCAGACCTCAGCATTAAATGAAATTTATACTATGATTTATTGAGGGTTATCAGCCAAATCAAAACCAAAAGAGCTATTTCCATTGCCAAGCAGACCTCCATTAACGAGAGAGTGCCAAGTCTCCCTGCAGGGCCACCCCTGCTCATCCTTACAGCGGGATATTGGCATGTTTCTTCCAGGGACTGGCCTGGGATTTACTGGCCAGCACATCCAGGTCCTGGCAGATCCGCCTGCGGGTGGTGGAAGGCTGGATGATGTCATCAACAAACCCTGAAAAAATGGAAACAAGGAGAAACCAACCAGGGAGGGTTTGCTTCTGGGCCTTCTGACCTAGGCTGTAACATAAATTAGCAAAATCAAAACAATATTTGGAATAAGTAAATTCACAGGTTACAAATTAACTTAAAATAGCCTGGAAAGGAACTATTCCTGCATCAATAATTTTTGAATTTTAAATTTAAATTCGCAGTTACTACTGTAAAGCTAGAGGTCAAAACAGTGGAAAAATTTGCTCCAGAGTGTCCTGGAGCACATAACTGAACTGGATCCTGTCCCTTTCTTCAGGCCACTGCTCTGCATCCAGGGCTGTCAACCAGATTGGAAAAGCACCTGTGCTACAGAGGAAAAGTTGTGAGTTGCTTTCTACCATCTACAAAATTGCAAATGCACTTTTCAGAGCAGTCCCCAGCTTTGACCAGGCTCTTTCCAGCTGAAGATGTGTGTTGTGTCTAGATGTGTTTGTGTGTTTGTCCTTCACATGCACAAGCTGTGGTTAAGCCTCACCTTTCTGACTCAGGTCTTGCCTCAATAATATGTTCATTAGCAAAAGGTTTCCTTAAGAGCTGTGTGCACTGAGAGACCCAAGCAGGGGACACAGTGGGGGAGACATCCATACCTCTCGTGGCAGCAGGAAAGGGGTTTGCAAACTTATCCACGTACTCCTGCTCCGCGTTGGCCTCCTTTCCTCTGAAGATGATCTGCACAGCGCCCTGGAACAGCACGGTCGGTCAGGGCCATCCCTCTGCTGACAGCCAGGGCAGCCCTGGCCTCACCACCCTCCCCACCACGGTGGGCTGCTCAGAGCAAGTCCCTCCGTCCCCTGTCCCCTCTGTGGTGCTGGGAGGGCGCTGGTGGCTGTGCCCTGGTGGGAGGGTGGCTGGGCTCACCTTGGCTCCCATCACGGCCACCTCGGCCGTGGGCCAGGCGTAGTTCGCGTCTCCTCTCAGGTGCTTGGAGCTCATCACGTCATAGGCACCACCATAGGCCTGGAACAGAACCAAGGATTCACTCCTGGGATTTGGATCTCACAGCAGCAACTGCCTACACCCCTCCTGCAGCTTCTGCCAGGCCAGAGACAAGAACTGGGGCTGAACTCTACCTGCAAGAGAGCATGAGCATCCCCACTGCTGCAGCAGCCTCCTGGGACTGACACCTCTGCCACTAGAGCTCCAAGGGGGCAGGAAGGGGGCTGCTGGTCACCAGGACCATTGTCCAGGGCAAGCACAGAGGGGTCAGTGTGTATCTGACCTGCAAGCCTCGACCTGCACATGCACTCACACCCAGCAGTCGGGGTGCCTCTGGAATTCCCTGGCCAGGGAGTGCAGCACTCGGGCTCTGCAGTGCTCCACTCTGCAACTGGAAGTGCTCCAGACAGCAGTGATGAACACACTGCAGAACTGCAGAGCAACCTGCAGTGCAGTCCCTGGCAGGGCAGAGCTGCAGGGCTGACAGGCACGGCGTGGGAACACTTGGAACAATCAGAAGGCAGAGAAAAAAGGAAAGTTCTTTTTTCTTTTTGCCATGATAAGCCAAAAGCCTCTCAGAAAAATGAGCAGGAGGGAAAAAATGAGCAAGGAAAAGACTAATCCTGTAAGGACCCAGAGCTTATGGAGCGTGGTGTCAGGTACCTTACAGAGAGAAAGGAAGAAATGAGGCAGATTGTGGCAGGAGGCTGTGGAGGAAGAGGCACCACATGAGTGTTAAACCTGCAGACACAGCAGGGGACAGATGCTGTCAGTGCTGGGGTTGGAGGGGGAGGCTGAAGGGGCAGGAGGAGAGAAAGCAGATTTGCTGTGTGCAGATGGTGTGTCCTCAGCGAGACAGGCCTGGTGACATGGGACAGTCCTGAGTGAAGGCATTCCAGGGAGAAAGCAGGGCAGAAACAGGAGGTTTCAGAGGGGTGCAGAGACAAGAGGAAGGAAGGAACTGAGGTCTGGGAATAGAAGAAATAGGTTCTTGTACCCTGACACAAAGAGGTGTTACCAGGTGGGGCAGACAGGTGTGACAATGGGACACACAGACAAGGCTCCCTGGAACTCAAACTGCCACTGGTAGAAACAGGAACTCTGGAAGATCTCCATGGAATTATCCCAACTTACCTTCCTGGTGATGACAGTGATTTTAGGCACAGTTGCTTCTGCGAAGGCAAACAGCAGTTTGGCACCGTGCCGGATGATCCCACCGTACTCCTGGGCTGTGCCTACAAAGGACAAATATTTATTTCCCTCCAGGGAATTCACAAAACCCCATCATCCATCACCAGCAGCAAACCTGGCCCCACCGCAGCCTTGTGAACATCCTGGAGGAGGTAAGACCAGGCAGTGTCCTCTGTAAGATACCAAGCAGCTCTGCAAAGTCTCTGACCGAGAGCAGC